ATGTTCCACCAGTGCTGCAGATTCATGGTCTACACTGTTCCAGAGAGTAATGCTTCTTCCTAATTTCTAAGAGAAATGAAGCCAGAACGAAAGACGTAGAATGATTGTAGAAATATTAGGTTGCTTCAAATTGATGCACGTTTTCTGAACTTCAGCTCTAAATCAAATTATGTGTTTTTTATAACGATCTTTTTAAGCTCTTTGAAAACATTGTATACAAGAAACCGTTTTAGCTATACGGTGCAAACTTTCGCATGAATTTACTCATTATGGGAGAAACTTTTCTAGTTCAAACAATGGCGAGAATTTTTTATGGAAAGCTCTAGTTTAAAAGAGCAAAATTCATTCTCAAAGTACTACAATGGAGCGAATTTTGTTCGCTGTATAACCGATGATCGGTTGATAAATAGAGCAGAGCTCAGATTTTACGAAAATTTTTATGTGAAAATTGCTGAGTAACCGAGAGCCCCCACTTTTTTGGGCATTTTAGAATAGGCAAAACAGTATTCTCTAGTTTTTCTCCTCTGAGAAACGAGGAAATCTTCTCGTTTTCCTATAGTACATAGCACAAGGTTCTACCCGCGCAAAGAGAAAGTTCTGCAATCGTTTTCACCTAAGCTTTTCATACAGCTTAGAATGATTCCAACAATCATTCAAGTCTGGGACAAAGCTTCTCGACTTAAGATTTTTCAATGATTTGTCGTAAGTGTTTCGCAGCACAATTCTTCACAATCTAATACTTATTTTTTGAAGTAAACCTGCGCATTATATTAACATAATTTTTATATCAAGGGCAAGTAAAACGAAAAGAAACTACAAGTTTTCTTCCCTCTTTCTTGAAGAGAAGGGACTTTGGTCTAAACAAAGACTTCCAAAAACGAAAGTACTACATATATGAGAAAATCGAGGAGCATGCTTTCAGATATTACAAACGATTTTCCAAGAGAACGGCTTTACTTCGAAAAAAACTATGAAAGAAGAGCTAAAAACATGCATTAATTATGAACCAACTCAATAAAAGCGGTCTCGAAGGCATTCTGTAGGTTTGATTTTAGCTATTAATTGATGGTCATTCTGTATTTTCCACTAATATCGTCAGTAATTCCCCAGAACTTAAATGACGGCAAGAACTCCTCGAAATTATTTCTCCACCAAAAGTTTCAAAAGGTTCAATTGTGTTTGCTCCCCTCATCATCATCAATGCGACTGTGCATATCCAGTGCTTGTCCCAGTCATCTTAATCAATATCCGCTGATTAGAGCGGGGCGTTTCTGATCAGTAGAAGTTTTTTTTCGCTGAAATCTGAAAAAAACTTCATTTTGCTGTATTCGACAATAAGGATTGCAGCAAATAGAAAATATTTGGACTTTATAAGATTTTAGTTTTGTCAACAGATACAATTATAAGTCTACTAAGGCTGGTAACGTTCTTCGGAATTTTCTGGGCAATTACGTTGTAACTGCATCTGTCTCGCTTTGTCTCATGAATTCAAAAAATCATGGGAGTTGGCCGAATATGTGTAAGGTGAGATGCATGCGAGCAGATTGATTTCTGCTCTGTTCGTTTAATCTTAATATAGGAACTCTCGAAAACGCAAAAATCAAGCATACAGACAGCCGAATGGAAGTTTAGCAATAATAGGAGATTTATTTGATAGTGTTCAAAAAGAGCTTCCAGACACAAGGTTGCTTGAAAGGAAAAGCCTATAAAATTGTAAGCTTTTTATTAGTTTGTAACAAAAGTCTTGTTACAATGTAATTTCTTGCGGGGATAAGTCATGCACTTATATTCTTAATAAGGCTCCAAGGTACCATTCGATAGGGCAAAGCACGCTCTACAAGACTGTATGCAAAAAATCGCACCAGCTTCTATTCACCCTAAGTTTGCTTCCAGAATCTGAGTCGTACTAAAAGCTCAAAAGATAGGGGAAAATCAAATCCCCTATCAAAAGATAGAGGAAAATTCATATTTTTCTTGAAATTTCTACGGATCCCCAACTTGCACACAAATTGCGCACCACATTAGACGTTCCTATATTTTTTTCCTCATCTATAAATTCGAGTAAACAAAAATTTTCATGCTCATACAAAAGAGGGGCTAAACTGTTCTCACTAAAGTAATTGTATAATACAAGCCCTTCGAAGTATAGTCGTAAATTTTCAGCTTTTCACAAACCCTAGTTTTCGAAATCACCGAATTTAGCTCTCCTTGCTCGGGTGTTCCACGCTGAAATCAATATTTGTCGGAAACTAGGGGTTGTGAAAAGCTGAAAATTTACGAATATATTATAAGAGCTTGTAGTATACAATTACATGTTTGGCAGCACAGCTTCGTTTTTGTATGAGCACGAAATTTTTCGTTTTCTAGATTTCTACATTAAAAAAATACAGGAACGGTTCATACGAGTGTCTGATGTGGTGTATAATTTGCGTAGGCAAGTTGGGGATCCGTAGGATTTTACTGAACAAAGATATGAATTTCCCCAAATTTTTTGAGCATTCAGTGCGGCTTGAATTCTGGATGCAAACTAGATAGGTTTAAACTGGTTCGAACTTTTGCACACCTCTTGTAGAGCTTGCTTCTTTGCTTTTTCGAATGGTGGCCTGGAATTCCATAAAAAGTAAGAAGTATGCGACTTATTGCCGTAAGAAATTACAAAGTAACAAGATTTATGTCACAACATAATATTAGAAGTCTTCTATGGGTGATCGCTCTATGAAGACTATTGAATGAGTAAATAACAATTGCTGGAACAGTTTGAGGCGGACTTTGGTCAAAAGACAAATTCAACGAGACGAGTTGATTTTCATGCCTCCCTCAGAAACGTTATCAGCATAGTTGACTAAAGATCCCACTTTCTCTAAGTTACTAATACTTATGACCTTGTAGCATGGAGGATAGACGTGGGGGGGGGCGAGGTTGAGTCGCGAAATTTTTGAAAGCAACTTCAAAAAGAAGTTTGTTTTTAACTTTATGTTAACGAACAATGAAGTAAGGATCTTGACATTTCTTAACATTGCTGATCAAGAAGGAAAGTTTAAGAGAGCGGTCGCGCCACATCCAACCGCTCTTTAACCTCAATCTCATCTGAGCTACCACTTTATGTTGCTACTTCGAGCACGATCAGCCACTAGTTCCGGTTTATCAACTTTTTCTATCGCTGGTAACTGCTTGGTCAACATGGTCGCGTAGAAATGATGACATATCGCCGCAAACGATGCTCTTTGATTGTTCGCTCGCAAAATGCTTACGCGAGGTCGCGCTTATCTCGTCGGCATGCTCAACTCGACCAAGTCATGTTTCCTTCCCTTTCTTCAGTCCTTAAAGTTAGAGAAAAATGATTCCACATTCTCTGCTCAAGCAGAAAATTATAAGCGGTCAAAATGTGTACATTTCATCTAGAAGTTGCACTGTGCAATAATCCTTGGCTAAATGTCCATAAGTTCTAACTTGACAGTTTTTTTGAGATCATTGTTCGGTTATGATCACTTTTTCCTGATGACCACTCCTTCTTATTTTTTTCCAAACAGCGTACAATACTAGACTTGCTCCTTATTTCAAAGCAGACGTATCTGTTCAATGATGCATGATTGCGGTATTGAGGTTTGAGAATTGTGATAGAGCCCCACTTTTAGATATTTCCCTCACTTTGCGAAGATACAAACACACAGGGAACTTCTACAACAATCACAGTATTTAGAGAAAAATTCAACGTACAAACCGTTGAATTTGACGACTCATTCTGTCTATTGTTAGATCATTTTGTTTGTGCGTTAAATTTTCGAACGTCCTCGTAGCACTCAAATCCATCATTGGCATGCATTGGAAAAACTACTTGGAGCTTCCTCACGTTCACATCGGAGACTGAGCGTATATCTTTCAAAACTTTGTTTGTCGTATTCAGTAGCTGTCTATCCGGTTCCTGATTTATGAGCCACTCTGATTTATTGTCAATCCTAGCCATTCAAAAAAGTCACCTTTCTAACAAGCTAACAATAAGCGTTTTCAAGATGATGAGTGCACAATAATTTGGTACGATGCATACAAGTGTTCACTACACTGCATCTTGATCTGCAGTGTAAAAAATTGTAGTCGAAAAGATGAGAGCTTCTCGAGTTTGCGCGTGGAAGTTCTTTTTCAGCATTCCATATCGCTTGAATTTGACCATCTATGGTTATGGATATTATTCACTTCAGACCCAACTTCGCTTCGCTTTTAATGTATGAGTTTATTTGAAATTTAGTAAAGAAATTTGTTTCACCTTCCTGCATCACTTTATCGTCTGATGGTGAAAGAAAAAGTTCTGTTAAACAAAGTTGACCATCAGATTCTCATAGAAGCACCTTCTTGAAATAGCCGTACATTTTCAGGAAATTTTATCTGTAACATCTCCACGAACCGTCAAGAATATGAATATGACAAAAGTATTTGAAGCTCGCATAACACGATATCTACATTATTTCATGTTAAAATAATTAAGACGCATAAACGGCATCTAAGTATATTATCAGCCTTTATTTTTCCCAAATTCTGTGATCATAATATTTACCTTGATAGAGCTATCACTGATCTGACCCGACAACAGCTTCGGTGACTATCGTTTGACAACCTGTTGCCCGAAGCATCGGATAATCTGATACTTCGGGCAACAAGTTTGAGCAGAATTCTGCAGCTTCGGCGGAAAATTACCACATAATTGTCTCGCGTTTGCTCAACTGTTCTAAAGCGCATTTTCGCATGTACAGATCGTTCCATCTCTTGGTTCGGTATAGTGAATCGTTTTTGATTGATGATCTGTAAGTTGCACGTGCTTGCCATTTCTCTTTCTGTCGATGAGAAATGTAATGGAGTATTTATCTTTTTATTTCATGGTAGGTAAAACTTTTCACATTTTGTGACACTTTTCCGCAGCTCTTCCTAAGCTTTACCTGCTTTCCACCCTTCCTCAGTTTGGATGTTGATATGAACAAGACTACATGCCTTCCTAGAAAATCTCATTTACAGGAAATATATCATCAGAATGGCTCCATATTCGGTTCTAGTGACTGGTGCAAATCGTGGAATTGGCCTCGGACTTGTCAAACAATTCCTTAAAAACAAAGAAATTCAACATGTGATTGCTACTGCTCGTGAGCCGAGCAACGCCAAAGTAAGACTGGTACCATCAAATAAAGTTAGAAATTTGTAATATCGAGACACCATGAGCATCTGCCGCAGATGAATCTTCTTTGACTCTGCCTCTAGGCAAAATGGAAAGAAAAAAGTTCCTCCTTGAGAGGATTTGAATGTCGCTGGAACAGGCTTGAGCAGTAATTTCAACGATGCAGCAAATCCCACAATTTTTTCAGAATTACACCGTTTTCAAAACCAATATAGGCCAGTTTCGCAAAAAATTCTCGCTTAATTATGATTACACGCTAGTCAAATGTACAAGTGTCGGCTGTCATTCTCATTAGTTGTCAAAAATTTCTTTCTGCGCTCTTCATTTTACCGAAGGCATGGGATAGACGTTCAAGCTCTTGAAACAAGAACTGCAGACTTGCTTTCATGTGAAAAATATTTATCTGAGCAAGATCGGGAAAGAGCATGGATAAAAACGCAATTATTTGCGAAAGCAACTTGTTGTTCTTCATTGTAGTGGCATACTTTATCCAGCCTTTGGCATAAAAGGTCATTTTTACAGGAACTGAACGAACTCTCGGACAAAAGGCTATCAGTCCTCAAGCTCGATGTTATGTGTGATGATTCAGTCAAAAATCTGTACTCGCAAGTAAGTTTTTTTTGTTTCCAAAGTTTTTTCTATTTCTATTATACGTTTCAGCTGTTGGCACGATTGATGTTATTATTGGGTTGGTAAGAAAGTTCTTGGACATCCTTTGGATAAAAATTTTGCTTTGATGCGAGCACCAAATAGGGCATGTACAGAACTCACATACATATATGCAAACTCTGTATGGAATTCGAGCTTAATTTGCAGGAAAAATCACTGGATAGAGGAAAGCAAACACATAAGCACATACTAATAACGAGCATAACCAATGAATCCTGTGAAAATAAAGGCGAAATTCGATGGCATAGGATTTTGACAGAGCTAAAACGCCCAACTTCCACGCTGTGAAACTCACAAATACTCCAGTATACAATAGACATGAATTCACATACATATATGTGTCCGTATGGAATTCGAGCTTAATTAGCAGGAAAAATGATGTAATCGAAAAGTGGCAAACTCCGCCCCTATTGATCCTAAGCATCTCCCTCCTACACTGGTATAAACCACGTATATGTGAGAGTACAACTACAAATTTTCGCGTTCGTAGATGCATTACAGCATCAGAAATAGCAATTTTTGTGTGAAAATGCCCGAAAACTTTCTTACCAAGTTAATATACGATCATTCGGCATAAATTTTGAAACAATCTTGATTTCACAGTATGTGGATCATTCTTGCACCCCTTAAGCAAAATCCTCTTCTTTCCTCACTTTTTAATTCCTGCAATAATCAATCGGCTTTACCATTTGTATAGAATAATTCGTTATCTTTACATACATTGGTCTCTGATGTATCGTCTCTGGTCGAATGTAGCGCAAGTACTTTAAAGGCAGTGTCTCACCAAAATTTAGTTGCCGAAATTTTTGCATTTTGCAAGCCTGTCGGACCCTGTCTAGCACTGTATGGGCTTAAAATCGCACGAAGCTCCCAAAAACCCCGTTTTCTGGAGGCCCCGTGGAAGCAACGTGGACGAGTTGTACCTTCCAACTTCAGCTCAGCCACAGTGGCAGCAACAGAGGGGAGGTGGATGCCAAGTGGAGGGACATGTTCAAACGCGTAAGGGGGGAGACCAAAGGAGTCGTCCGCGCGTACCAACTGGCTCTCCGCGTACCACTTTGAGCGAATTTTTCTCAGCGTAGAGGAGGTCAAATTGAGTGGAACTTGTTGCAATGGCCTATCTAGAGGTCCCTATAATAGAATGTGTAAAGATCCCCGCGACCTCACTTTGGTGAGACACTGCCTTTAAGCTTGTTCTGCAGTTATTGAACTCTGCAGTGCCTTATCTTTGTGTATTTTGATTCTCAAGGATTCTTCGAAGTTCTTCGTACTCAAAGTATTTAGTTCGTAATCATTTCCGTTTGAGAAGGATGACTACAAACTCACTATGAAGAGAAAGAGAGAAGGACAGTAAGATAAAAACGATAGTAAACATTCATTACAAAGAGAATGACCGCTAGTTAACAGAATTTTGTTAGAGAAAAATCATCATAACCACCAAAAATCAAGATATATTTACGTCTATGTCACAATCAATACACTGAAATCTTTCAGGTGGAGAAAATAGTTGGAGACCGCGGTTTGACCGTCCTTCTAAATAATGCTGGAATTTTCGTCAAATACTCAACGAACCAAGAGCCCAATCGTGCCGATCTTATCAAGAACTTTGACACAAATGCTGCTAGTGTAGCTGTGATAACGCAGGTACGCACTTCCTCCTCTGGGAGGGGAACAGTTTTGTTGGTTTCATGAATTCGAAAACCATGCAAATATTCTTTTTTAGACACTTCTTCCACTACTGCGCAAAGCCGCCAGCCAAGTTTCCTCCGACGAATTTTCCATCAATCGCGCTGCGATCCTCAACATCTCATCAGGTCTAGGTTCGATCACTAACAATACATCAGGATCGGGTCCCAATGCCATGTTGGCCTACAGGACAAGCAAGGTTGGTTCAAATAAAAGTGTAGGGAGGCCCATAATATCAAGTGCTCTCCTGGTAGGAGCCTTCTCCTGGTAGGAGAAAATCTTCATCACAAAACGAGAATACGGCAGGCCCCTCAGCGCCTATTCCATATTGGGCAACTGCCGCTAATTTAATTTGTAGAGAAACCCAACTTTTGAAAGATGACATTTTGGAGGAACAAACTTGCGAAACTGTCTATGAGGTCAAAGCGTACTATGGGGGGTGGGAGGGGTTAGTTGCAAAATTTGGTAAAAAATTCGGCAAATATTCCGAGGAAAAGTTTGGAATAACTTACGTCACGCCCCTTCATTTAGAGTACGTTTCTGTTGTCTCACTTCCCACGAAAAATCTCTCGGACAGCTGGAAGAATTTCACGGTTACTTGTACCCGCAGGGAAGCTTAGCCTTGCGATGTCAAAAATCTATATCAACAGTGAGCGAAAGTGAATAAACTGTGTAATTATTAGGTGTAAATCTAGCAGCCTAATTTCCTCTACAGTGTGTTCATTTGAGGACAAAGTTCGGCACATATGGCACCGGGTCAAGCTGGTTATCGTTTTTTGGATAAAAACCAAATAGATATCGTTTTTATGGCAGAAAAGACACTAAAACTGTAACGTTTTTCTACTCAACGTTTCGTTTTTGAGCGATTTTACGTATAGGGTTTAAGGTCAAAGGGCTCGTACGAAATCTTTAAGATCAGCGAAGACTTCGCAAAAGAGACCTCGGTTTGAATTTTCCGGGTGCCAGCTCGTGCCGAGCCCTGTTTAGCGATAAATATAGTGTCTTCGCGATGCACAGATGAAAGGAAAGGTGCCAATGAAAGGTGCCATCCTCGCCCATGACACCGTCAAACCACATTTAAGAAAAGTGTCTCTCACAAAAGGGGTTGACTGCGCACCGAGATCCCCGTTGATTTTTCGAACTCTCTAGACCTTTTTTACCATTCACCAAATTTTCCAATCCCTCGGTGCCTATTAAAAAATAATAGGATGCAATAAAACTTAATTTGTCGAAAACGCCTTTCTAGGCCTTATTGAATCCTCTAAGATGATTTCACAAGAGAAAAGCACAAGAGCACTACAAGAATGTTACCAGAAATTTGCTGAACCCAATGAAACTTATTTGGTGGGAAAAGGTTGGATCTGGAAATGGTTGTTGTGCTCGTTTGAATGTGCGAAATCGAAAAAACTTTCCGAATGACCTAATAGCTACGCCCGAAATGCCGTCAATTTGCAAGCGCAAAATGCCGGCAAAACGAGTAAATTTCGGCAACGCAAGGACACTATATTTGCCGACAAATCTACTCGACTCTATACTAACTTGAAGCACGAAAAAAAGATTCGACTCTGTCTACTTTGAGTAAATGGTAAAGGTAAATGTCTCACTGCTATCTTCACGCTCGATTTTGAAAATGAGATTTAACTTTGTTTATTCTGCACCATAGTTGCGATAGGGGGAGTGATGGATCTTACCCCCTTCACTTTGAGGCCAAACTTCGGTTGACCCCCTTCACCTGGGCTGAGATTGGTACTGTACTCTGAGACAGTGGCGTACCGAGGGAGGGGGGGGGGCGCCCCCCCCCCCGAGAATGGGTCGCGAAATTTTTGAAAGTTACTTATATGGGTTATAAAAATGTGCAAGTGACTTGTTTACTTTTGTAAATAATCAAAATAATTTTTAAAAATTTTTAAAAATTCAAATTAGGCCTTGTAAAAAACCCGCAAAAATTTTGAGAAGCACCCCCAAAAATTTTTCGGAGTGCGTGGCTGACGCCACGCATCTTCTTTAGGAAAAAGTTTTTGTCGCCCCCCCCCCCCCCGGAGCCGAAATCCTGGGTACGCCACTGCTCTGAGAATATAGAATAAAAATCGCTATCAAAAGGTTTTGCAGACTAAATACCTCAAACAACAGGTACACTCATAAATTTACAAAAGAAACGGTATTTATGTTTATTCATATTATTTAATCATAAAAAAGCATCTACAGAAGCGCAAACTCTTTCCGGCATTCATAAATACTTCCCTGAGCGTTTTTCCATGAAATCAATTAATCTTATTTTAGTAATATAATCACCACTTCTTTGTTCAAAGCTACAACTCTTTTGGGTATATTGCAACGGTAAGTGAGGACACAAATCAGTTGATTTTTGAAGTACATAAAATCCCTCATATCTTGCGACACAGAAGACCTGAAAAAAAGTCGACGGTCCACTTCGATTCTCCATGATTTCAGCTTTCGAATGGTATACAGCATGTTAGGGCTTCTTTGCTTCGCGGCTCTAAAAAGCACTTACTCCGGTGACCGATAAAAGCCAATACATTGGTGGAGCTGGTTGGAGCAAGCTAATAGTAAATATCTCCACCCCATTTTTGAAAACTGGTAAGTTTTTTCGCCCAGCAACCTATATACCATTCGAAAGCTCAGGAAAAGGGGATTCGACCTAGACCTCGATTTCTTTCTAGCCCCCACCCTCTACCGAGAGATACTCCGCATTTTATCTGAAAACATGTCCATTTTCAACAGCAGATTTCTGCCGAACGAAGACCTAATGACTGCTGATTATCTATTTATGTTAAAGAGCAAGTCTTCATTAACAAAAGTAGGCCGTCGACTTCCTCGTAGCATTCATTTCAGAGCAGAAAGTGAGGACACAAAATTAGTTGATTTTTAAAGTACATAAAATCCCTCATATCTCGCACACAGAAGACCTAGAAAAAAGTCGATGGTCTACCTCGATTCTCCATGATCTCAGCTTTCGAATAATATACAGCATGTTAGGTCTTCTGTGCCCGGCTCTAAAAAGCACTTGCTTCGATGACCGATAACCAACACATTGTAAGAGCGAGGTGGAGCAAGCTAATAATGTGGTGTGGATTGACATCGTTATCAGCAGGAACGCGAGCGAACGCGTCTATTTAAGCGTGCTTAAATAGACTTAATTGTTGTATGTTCATGTTTTTTTAGTAAAAAATGCGCTTTTGATTGACAGTTGTGCCATCATTATCAGCACATACTCAAAATATAATACTATGGGAGATTGGTGAACTTCCACACCTTCACACAAAAACCCGCCCATTTCTGGAATCTTTTAGGGTGATCCAAAAGTAATGGGGGCACCTAGAGAATAAATGCAGTTTTCTCAATTAGAAAAGTTGATTGGAAGTCCATTTGGCAGATGTTAGTACATAACAAAACCTTCTGATCGAGGTCTATAGTGGGCATGTCACGTGGCGTAATTTTTATAAGCGCTTAAAATCAAAGCTCATCGCTTCAAGTAATTTTGAACTTTGAGCAGCAGCGCCGCAGTAAAACAAGTGAGACTACCAAAGATATCTGCGTAGCAATGGGTGAAGGGACTATCACCAAATTCCACGATAGCTCGGTGATCTCAAGGCTTTAGAGCACAAGATATAGCATTGGGTATCAGGAGACATATTACTTATTCTTTCATCAAGTTAATCAAATAAGCTCAAACTTAACAGTTGCTCTTTAATAGCGCTTTTTACGCTCTATCCATACATATGCAAATTATAATACTTCGACTTTTCTCATTTTCAAAAAGTGTGGGTCAGAACACGAATTTTAGTCTGAAAATCTGCGCCAAACACCGCACTTTTTCGAATAAAGTGCCTTCAGAAAGAGATCTTAAAGAATGTTCAAAAAATCAGGGTGCCCCATTATTTTTGGATCACCCTAATATACTCTGTAAACCTAATGCTGAAGAAGGTCACTTTTGTGAAAACGCTCTAGACTCACCTAATTGTAGAGAATGCTTGGTTTCAATGAATCAAAAACTTTAAGGCATTCAAGAACAACTTGCTATTAAAATATCCTTCAATGTTCTGGAAAGGTTGGTAGTTTGAAGAAGAAACGGCAGGCAGAATACTTTACAAAATCGCAGATGACTCGCATGTGTTCCAGTTCAACAGCGAGGCAGAAGGAGAATCTTACGCCGGCGAAAATGTTGTCGAAATTGGTACAGAGTTGACAATTGAACGGAACTCTCTATTTCGTACATCAGAAATCAAGCAGATTGCCTAGTTTCAACGAGAAAATGTCCAAGAAGTCCATTGCTGATCTTCAGTTTGCTGATGATTTTGAGGCTGCTAAATTCACGAACATGGATATGAACAAAAGGAAGATGTTAGTACAAAGCATAGCTACTGCTCTCAGGGAAAGGATACTTAGTCGGCACCAATCCAGATAAGATATATATCGTCTTGAAGCGCTCGAAACGCTGATTCCAAACCTGTAGTTTATAGCAGCGGAGCAGTTTTGTAGAAGGAGTTATGAGGGGCGTTTCCTTCGGGCCGAAGCGCCCAGCAAGTCCAGCAAGTCTTTTATCTATGAGTACTGTAGAGGGGTACCAACTAATGGCAAATGGCCTAGTGGTGACTTGCTTGATAAGGAGACTGTCAAGATTTTGACCCTCTTCGCATGCAACTTTATCGCAATTTTTGCAAAATTGAGCTTCTAAATGGCTTTAGAGCCCTAAAGCCTGATATTTTTGATGATATTGATGCTCGAAGTTAGAAATGTTTGAAAAAACCAAGGTAATACGAGTATTGTAAACCTTATTGTAATCTTCATTCAAATTACTTACTACTAGGCCAGTTGCCATCAGTTGATACTCCTCTACAGTGCTCATAGATAAGGGGAGACCTGCTGGAGAGCGCCTCAACCCTAGAGGAAAAGAACTCTCATAACTCCTTCCACAAAACCGGATTTGGAACCAGGGTTGTGAGCGCTTCAAGACAATATACAGGGTGTACCAAAAAAATGTATCGAATGTTTGATCGTTAATATCTCTCTTCCCAAGAAGTCTTTTGACTTGCTTCAGGTATCGTTTTGTAGAGCTGGCTTCAACTTAGATTAGCATTATAGAATGAATCATTCATCTCACTTCGTTACTGTAGGATTACGGTAGAAACTTGAAACATATCGTGTCAATGTGGAAAAAACTGCCGTTTCAAAATTTTTCAAAAAATTGTGAAAACTTGTGTATTGGGGTTTTTATGGACGCTAAGTTCAATACCCAACTATTCACAAGATTACGAAGCTTGTTAAACGGTGTAACCGCACTTTTTAGGAACATTTAAGAAATAGCCGCTACCTCTTACCTGGCATAACTCTTCAATGAAGCATCATAATAAATTGGGAACTATGCAGTTAGAATCAGCAACTCTAATTAGCCTAGTGTAAAAGTTTTCAGGCTATTTTGTTTCCTTTCTGGGGCAAAATATGACCTTGCATTGCTTAAAACCCTCTTTGAAGTTTCTACCGTAATCCTCCAGTAATAAAGAGAGATGAATGATTCGTTCTATAATGCAAATCTAAGTTGAAGCCAGCTCTACAAAACGGTACCTGAAGCGAGGCAAAAGACTTCTTTAGAAGAGAGACATTAACGATCAGACGTTCGATACATTTTTTTGGGCACTCTGTATATCTCATCTGGATTGCTGCTTTCGACTAAGTATCCTTCTCTTGTTAGATCCCTACTGGAGTACAAACCTGTGCTTTATGCTGCTGGACGTCTCTCGCCTTGTGACATTATGACCTATGAGATTGAAAAAAAAAACCAACGCGCAGCATAGTATCTACTTTTTTCGGCTATTCCGCAGATGCTGTTGAAGAAGAAGTTGAGCAGCTTTCTCGTCAGCTAATAAGACGTATGCCAGAGGAGGTGAAGCCAGAGTTCGACAAGGCCCAAAAAAGTATGCAATATTTCCTTCCTGTGTTGCGAAAGCATATGCGATCTAGCTCTTTCTCCATTACTTACCGCAAAAATCTGATGGACTTACTAGCAAAGCTAGTTCCCATTCCGACTAACACGGCAGAGGTGGAGAGGGGATTTTCTATCTACTCTGTTATAAGAACGCAACGCAGAACTCGTACGAGGGTGGAGCATCTAAGCAATTACTTAAGATTTGTCAACCTTCAACCAAACATATCGTTATATAAAAACTTCATTTAGAGGATTGCTATAAGTGGTCCAGACAGGCTGTCATTGTATGACTTTTCAAAATATCCTAAAAGATGGTATGGAGAAACTTGTCACCTACCTGCTGACTTCCTGGTGCTACCAGAGGGCTAGGAAAAAACACAAAAGCGCTTAGAAGAAGAGCGTTTCAAATCGATCGAATCAGAACACTTTTTGACGCAATTTCCGCACGTCACACAAGTTGTTCCTAACTTGTACATCATTTGGGATAAACCTTGTTGCTTTCGTTTTTTGTTGATGCAATGAAATAGGAGCACAGATCTTCATAAAGTCAATTTTTTTGATTTATTATTATTTTTTTAATTCCAAAAAATTTTTTCAATTAGAGCTCTTCATACCACGCTTTTTACCTTTTCTCTCTTCCTCCCGGCTCCCCCTATCGCACCTATGTTCTGCACTATGCCTCACTGCTGCTCATTACCGTAAGCTTTTCAGTCCGCCTTGAATTCGATTATGAAAACCATGTCGATCGACTTGGAACCGGACCATATCCTCGTTGCGATGTTCTGCCCCGGTTGGGTTCAGACTGATATGGGAGGAAGCAATGCTGCTCTCACGGTTAGTGTCGGCCTTGACCCTTTTGATTCAGAAAAATGAAATTGTCGTTGCATACATCTAGTAAACCTTCGTTAATCCAGATTGATGATTCTACAAAAACGCTCATTGAATCCTTCGGCAAACTAAGCAGGAAGGAAAATGGTGGCTACTTCAATCGAGATCTCACTACCATACCGTTCTAATTTATAAAGCTCTATAATCTGTGGTAATAAATCTTATATATAAAGCTGAATGTCTGTTTGTATGTCTGTCTGTATGTGTGTCTGTATGTATGTACGTATGTTCCGAATAGAAAATTCCATTTCTGAACCGATCGGGACCAAACTTGGCACACATACACTTCGGGCCCCGGCGGATGTCATAGGCTACTTTTCGTATCGATCGATATCGATTTTACCGATTTTTTGCAAACTCGATTACATTCCCCTGCCAAATTCCAGCCCCCTAGCTCAAATTTTGCAAAAAAAATCGATAAAATCGATAAAAGTAATGCACGGTTTCGAAAATTAATATTGTATTCGTAATCAGCACGCTCGATTACCCCCCTGTGCCAAATCCCAGCCCCCTAGCTCAAATTTTGATATCGATAAAATATCGATAAATTATAATATAAATTATCGATAAAATCGACATCAATCGATAACGAAAAGTGAACTGTGACATCCGCCGGGGCCCGAAGTGTATGTGTGCCAAGTTTGGTTCGGATCGGTTGAGAAATGGAATTTTCTATTCGGAACATACGGCGGAGCCGGGTATGCCAGCTAGTCTGCTATATTATCCAAGCACGACAATCGCTCAAACTTGGCATTTTGGAAATTGCTTTGAGAACTGCTTGAGCTTCACACCGGAAGTAGCAATTGCTTTATTCGACTGACACTTGTGAGACTCAGCGGTATCGTCTTCTTCAGAGTCCGAAATCGTCGAATGCATGAGTAATCTATCCCATTAAAAGCCGCATCAGGACTCAGAAAAGACGTTCAATGCGAGTAAACCGAGAGCTACGAGAAAATCTGTTATATCCAAACACCCCAGGATTTTTTAACAATCGCTTTTTTACCCGGGAACTATATTCCTCCTTTGAGCACCCCTACTTTTTTCGAAATTAGCAAACATTTTTTGGTAGGCTCTTTTTCAGCAGCACCTAGAAGAACGTACATGAGCAGTTATCATGGAATCGATTTCAAAAATCATACTAAGCTTCCGCTGCACACCGCGTGAATTTTTTTTTAGAAAATTTCTTATCTTATTATGACGTTCAAGAATTTTGGGAACGCCCCATTTGGGTTAAGCCCTCTTAAAATCATTAAGCTATTTATCAATCATTTGTGAGCTAAAGCCTCCTGAGGTCGTGCCATTCTTTGTAGCTGCCAATATCGAGTGTCACCAAGTAACTTTTGTCTTAAGCACTGTCAGATGGACGTAAAGGCAATGATCTGCTCTTTTTTGCTATCTTGGTAATCCACTTACTACTCTTATCTAATCAAACTATTTCATAACACGGATTTCAACGCTCCATGGCTAGCTGCCCATGCATTCCTCGTTCTATGCGACAATGTTAGTTTATTTCTTTAATGTAGCATCTCTTTTGAATCATTGTCCGGTAGCATATACCCCGATAAAATCACACCGCGTAGTTGGCATAGGCCATGAGAGGTTATGAACTGTCAGCAACGCTAATTTGCGCCCAGTTTGCGCCGAAGACGAGCTTATTCAAACTCAACTCAAATTCAGCCCACAAACTACGCCCTCGTCCTACACTGTATGGAGTCGGAATTTTATCGAAATTTCGAAGTCAGTTTAGTAGCGAATCTTTTCCGATTGGGGTAAAGAACTGTAGGGTACTTTGTCTGATGTTCCAGATATGACGATGATTTCCTAAGAGCCTTTGAAGAAATCCTTTACGAAATTTCCAGAATTGGCATTCAGCGGTTTTCTCTGATGCTGTTTTCAAATATGCTGATGCTTTGCTTAAAACTTTGAAATCATTTTCTTGTACACCAATTTTTTCACAGTTCATTGCAAATCTGGTAAAGTTGGAAACGTGCAAATTATGTTACGCCTAGCAAAATCAGATAGATTAGATAGATCCTACACTACTCAGACAATTATTGCGAACACCCGCGGAAGGGCGCCGGCCGACGTTTCATCCATGCTGCGGGTGGCTGAATAAACGCACGCAAAGCTCCCGAAATCCGCCCGCGGATGCACTGTTAAGTGCCCAAACGAAACTCGCGTATGTCCCAGCAATCAAACGATAAATGCGCGATATGCGTCCGCCGGTGGCCCCATACGCACCAGCTAAAAGCGAAAATATTCTCATCGAAACCTATAAACTCGTGTTCTCATTCTTCTAGCCCTCGCATAGAGGTCACGATCTATATCAAAATTTGACCGCAGGCCCTATTGAGGACCGACTTCATTGCTAGACATAAGATGGACTTATATAACAAAGGACCAAGGCGTTTAAAGTACCTCAATCACCGCGGCGTATCTTAAGCGAGCCGTTTTTGCTTCCAGCGTGTAAAAATTGTGGCGTTCAGCAGGGCCCGGGGCTCGCCAGAAAGGTTCTACCCGGCCGTGACCTAAAGGGCCTCGGCTTGCCCGATAACCAAATGAAGGGAGTACTATAAGGCCCGGGGCTCGCCCTAGCGTCTTGTCTTGGGCCGCGGGTGTTCCGATAAAACAGTTATGGCCCGCGGCCTTTCCCTCGAAATAGCATTGAGCTGCGAGTTGCCGAACAAATAAATCTAGGGCCGCGGATAATCAGTCAATAATTTGGCGCCCGCGCACCGCCAAAAAACAACGGTAGGGGCCGCGGATGCTCGCAATAATAGTCCTAATAGTCTGAGTAGATTGTCTGCTTCCCCTGAACTTCGCAAATCCGAAATTGACTTGGACATCGAATGAAAATCTGATACCTTCGGAAAGACCATCTTGAACTACCAAATATTAAATTCCATGCTATTTCGGACCCAAATTCGCTAGGAAATTTGTGAAAGAATTAGAAATACCGAAAAAAATTTGAAAGTTCAAAACATAACCACCATCGTTTTCGGAAATAACATGTTAAGAAACTTATAAAGACCAATTTTACCTAAATTGCAGTGAAGCTTCTGAAAAATGTTGAAAAATGTGTCTGAAAAATGACTTCTATTGAGAATTTCAAGTAGTTTCGAAGTTTCAAGCAAAACCATCAGCGTATTCGAAAACACCATCATAGAACACCCAAATAGCATTTTTGGAAATTTGCCAAAGACTTCGTGAAAAGTGAAAAAAGTTCAGTTCAAAAAGGAAAGATTCCATAAACTCCAGAAAATCGCAATCATATTCGGAAACTTCATACAGAATACCCTTAAATAAAATTTCTATCCCTGACAGCTCATGGTCTCTCATGACCTTTGCCAACTACGTGGTGGCGGTCTTTCTGAGTGTGTAATCCCGTTTCCCCCTTTAAATAAAATACTGAGCAGCGCTGGATTACATGAAGATTGTCATTTTTGAGGTACTCCAAAGTTATCAATTTTTGTTCAACAAACACTTATCTTGTCATCAATTTTTTGCGATTAATAACTTTCGCACTCACATTTGTGTTTACCGTCGGCTCTTGCCGCGAGGGCGGACTCGGGCGGGCATATCAGCGATGCAGTTGCCCTGTGTTGAAACGTAGCTGATAAATTGATTATCGGTTGACCATCGCGATCGCCCTCGCAGCAATCGGGAAGAGCCGATGGTATGTGCTTGTGTCTCTGCATGCTTTCGCACTGTCTAGACTCAAACTAAGAGGTAATGTTGCTAAAACGAGAAACGTCTTGCAAAGTGCATTTCTTAGAGCTGCACCTGCCTTTAGATGCTGAAACTAAATCAAAAAAATTTAGAACTGAGTGATTGAGTTTTGCCCTGTTTTGAAACCCGTTCCCGGCATCGAAATTTCACAGCAGGTCTTGTGCAATGTCCCTCCCAATCGTTTTACTTTTCTTGCTTTACCTTACAGGTCATGCTGTAGGGATGACATGCTATGATATGAGTATCTCTGTAGGGTGCGCCAAAATTACTAGCACGTGTTTCTTTGGGTGCGAGAAGGATACAAGGCGGGAATAATGGCGGTTCAAGCATGCATCTCTTTCCAGCAGCCATAATCATCGTAATGCAATAGTCAAATCAGATTTTGGCTGCTTTGCCTTTCGAAAAAATCCCAAATCCTCTCGACAGCCAAAGTGTGCTCCGTATGCAGGCACAACTTTGGATATGCGCGATAATTTGAAAACCATTCTTCTTGCTTTGAAATGCACATCATAGTAAGGCAAGCCTTAGCTGTGACAGTTAAGTGCGGAATTTGAACTTGATCCGAAGATGAGTTTTCACTTTTTCAAAAACATGCCTGGAGGCAGCACATCGCAAATCGGTGGTATTTTGTTCTGGTGCGCCTAAGCATCAGAAAATGTCTCTTAAAACAGCTTCAAAACCATTTTCAAGGATCGGTCGTGATCATGCTCTTCAGCATGTTTCGTAAATAAAGAAGTGCTTTTTTACCTGGAAGGTTTTGCATCTCGGGGGTCTCAAAATCGATTTTAAACATAAGGCCGTTGCTTGTGCGCAGGCATTTTTTTTGCAAACACATCTTCGTATTTCGTGAAAGAACAAATTCTCATAAAGGCATAGGACCCATGAGATAATGCAAAGTGTACATTTTACCGTAAGTTAGGAATATCATACTATATTATATGATCTGGCGCCAATTCTAATCTCGTGGGTTTTGATTGCTTCAATATAAAAGAAGTGATCGCGCACTAAGTGCCGTGCGCCGCTCGGATTGATTGACAAAATAAACTGGCATTCGTTTACAATATTTTCACATATTCAATTTCGTGATAGATATATTTTTGCAGGGTGGATTCGACGTCAGGCTAACAGGATACCGAAAGGTAATTCGCACTTTTATGAAATCGCGGGAAATCGCCCTTTACCTTTCTGTCACTACCTCCTAACTTACTAGGAATTACTCGTAAGGGGGAGGAGCAGGACGGGGGAGGGGGGGGGGGGAAGGGGGGAGGGTTGTATCCTTCTGGCCCTAATACCACATAACTTTCTATAATTACTTTTTGTATTCCGATTTCTCCATCGCGCTTGTTTGTTGAAGTTAACAACGCACAAGAGCTCTTTTCAAAATTATAAGGTTGTGCAATAAGTTTGTTCGCATTTTTCGTTTTAGTTTTTTTACCAATATTTTGCTTCATACTTGACAGAGTATTTATATGCTTTTGAAAAACCTATGTCTGCTCCATAAACATATTTGTGTCATTCCCTGATTTTCAGAAAAGTCACGAAATTTCTGCTTTCAGAATAAGAATTTCGAGGAAGTAAAAAAGTTCCCGATATCTTTTCCATATTCAAATTTTCACGTTGAATCATAAGATTCTTTTAACAAATGCGATAACAGACAAAATAAGTAGTTGATCATTTCCTAGCTACTATCACTGTATATGCTTGCTCTCTTCTTTTCATCAGCTGTCTAATCCTGATATTTCACGAAGTTGGCATAGCAAACTTTCTCACGGCAACGTCGTCGTCCACGCGCTTAAGCTGTGTGCTCATTCAAACTCTAATTTTCCGGGTAATCCACAAACTCGATAATTTCGTAACAGGGACCATCCTCCCGCCACTCGCCAATTCCTGGATTGTCTGTTGGCTCTCCTCTCTTGGAAGTGCTTCAGGTGCCCGATGTCGACTTCGAAGAGACGTCAGAAGGAAACCCACATGAAACTTACAAATCGGATTGTGAAGCTTATTAGCACTGCTGAGCAGGCTCTGTAAGCAATGGCACTGTCTTCGTTGATGCAAAGTTTTTGAGTTGTTTGATAAGAACTATGCACATTTGGGGCAACTAATTGTAGTTGTCGAATATGGTATTTTTCACCTTATTGGTTTTCCAAATTGGAAACCACAAAATTCTTATGTCCAAAACGAAGAATAATTATGACAGAGTAAGCTGAAAGCTTTTATAAGCATGTACACATTATACCGAACACCCTGCAAAATATTAGAAAAAAGCAAATAAGTGCGAACGAACTTATTGCGCAACCTAATAGAACGTATTAGGCTAGTTCGTAGAATCTCAAATACTCAAAAACGAACTCATCCAGATAATCTCTGAGCTCCAATTTGCTGTGTGACCTTCTGAGCTTCCCATAACAGACATACGAGCGCTTGTAAAAGGCCGGAACTTTATACCCGTAGATTGTAGTATAAAATTACTTATGTGGGAACAGCCCAGCATTGCTGTGGCAAAAGAATGCCAACTTTTATTTTCCAGTTTTCTAACCGCTGAATTATAACTGTACATGCGAGTATTTGAGGCGAAGACTTATGGTCAAATTGGATCTTATCTGAACAAAAGTCCCAGATCGAGTCTCCAGAATTACTAAGGTTTCGGCTTTCACTTCACATAAATTAACATTGTTGTTTTTCCATGATAAGCCATGCAATGATTAGCGCCTGGGACCAAGTGACATTGAGGGTGCCATCATCTTTCTGAGATCTCTTTCGCGGTGGGTTTATAATAACCACTATCTATTTTCCACTCTTCCAAAGCTATTGTACCCTTTGATTCGTGGGGAGTGGCGGGGAAAGGCGGGGCTTCGACAATAATCAAGCCTATTGAATAATTAGAGAGCACGCTCGCTAGAAAGACGCAGTCTGAGGGCCGCATGCACTAACATCCCCGCTGCGGAGAGATCACAGCTCAAAGGAGAGCTTCATATCTTAAAGCTTCAGATATGTGGATTTCACGCTGTCTGGCTATCCGTAAGTATTCCCACCATCCTTCACATGAACATATTGAAAAAGAGCGAAAACCTGTACAAGCCGCATTTTCCAGCTTTTTGTATGATCCACTGATGATCCCCCGGCCAAACTGTTTTCTTCAAAGTCACCTTTCTTTCTTCGAATTAAAACCTTCAAAGTTGTACTGATTATCTAACCCAACAGTGCTAAGCATGTTGCTGATAGAAACAAATAAGTTTTTGCAATATCGACTTTTTCGATAGACCTCAAATTTCGACTTGCAGTTCTCGCAAATTTCATGGCTTCGAAACATCACTTGTTCTTACCAGAAACCTGATTACCACTGTTGGTTGGTTTAGATAAACCACCCTTGTAATGTTTTTACTGACTTCGAACAAAGAAAAATGACTTTGAAGAAAATGAAGAAAAGAAATGCGTACGGATAGGTAGACAGCGTGAAATCCACATATCTGAAGCTCCAAGATATGAAGCTTTTTTCTAACCTGCGATCAGCTGTTTTTGCTGCAGAGGCGTGTTTCAGGACCTTCCAAAAATCGCTACCTCTAAAGCCAATGAAATTGTCAGAACGAGGATAAGAAATCGTCAAATAATAATCAAGTTGTTTGTCGGTGGGTGCTCTCTGAGTTTGGTGACCAACATATACGGAAAAACTTTCGGAACTGATAGAATTTATTGCTTGGGACAAAAACTGCAACTTAGCTCAAATTGTGCTATGCCCTCCGCCCTCCCCTCGTCTACATTTGCTTACAAATAATAAGCAATGTTGCTTCAAGGCATCCAGATCTACGTTTCCTGCATCTTATCTTTTTCCAAGGCATCGAAAAAAGAAAATTATCAGTTTTTAGACAATGCATACTCGAACTCCTTTCGTATGTGTATATGTACACTGAAATAACTGAAAGTAGACCCATAGCACTTTGCACATGTGCTAATATTCGAGTTGCAACTGGCGATGGAATTCATCCAAAGCTAAATCGTAGTAACTCGTTCCTGAATTTTAATGGGACGGCTAAATTCACAAAAGTGCACGTTTGCCGAAAACAGAGTTTTCTCACGATTCGCTACTCACCAGATATGTAGTCTCTGTACTTAGGAGTCAAAGAGCGAGTATGACAGAGATGCTCACTCAAATGTGTGCTGTCTGGCAGGTCAGACCCAAAGTCAAAAAAAATTTTGATGCACAACTGATGTCCCTCTGCCTGAGCGCCGAAGTAGCTAATTAAAAGTTGAAGAGCATATCACAGGGCTTATCAAACGCAGTGTCGCTTGCATCAGCATCTCCACTTCCGCGCTGGAATCTGCGTCTCTTGAACATGCTCTCCGATCACTTCCAATCGATTCTCCGCCTTTCCCACGCTCGCCATGGGAAAGGGGTCAGAAAGCATGTTCGCGGAAGAGACGCAGAGTTCAGCGCGGGAGTGGAGTTGCTGATGCAAGCGACATTGCATTTGATAAGCCCTGTACTTATGAAACAAAATAATCTCGACAAGATGCCGCGAAACGTTCGCACAATGTTGAACATAATGACACCCCGCAAATTACCAGTTATTTGCCTTCTGGGACTAACTCTTTTCACCAGCAACATTTGTCCTGATGAAATCACGCATAGTGCCATCTATTAGCTCGTTCCATAAGTTCTTAGCGTTTTTATAAATCAACATAATCATCAATTTACAGTGAAAACCAATCAAAACTATATTCCTCGTTGTAGCATGATCTTTGGCACCTTTTTTAGCTTCTCAACCCCAACTTTTCAAAAGGCAGCGCGCCGGGTTCATACCTTCGATAGTCTGGAGACAGGGCGTCAAAAGTGAAGGTTGTTTGAACATCTGACGTCACAAATAGTGAAGGTTGTTTAAAGAAGATCAGAGAAGAGAAAACGACTTGAAACAGATACAAAAAGCAAAAGAAACTGCTGAAAAACCGGATAAAAACGCTGCAAAGAGGTTTGAAATCTTTCATTTGGCGGCTTTTTAAAGTGCAAGTTTTCTCTCCAGGACCAACAATTCGCAGCACGGGGTCTTGATTTTTGATGCATCCTTTGAATTTTTACCCCCGCATTGAGTTCCTGTTTTCTGGGACGTTGTCTAGATTATTGAGCTTGTTGTTCTGAGCAACAATCACCCAAGCTGGAAAAAAATCTTTGCGAAAGCGCTGAAATAGAATAGGGTAAAGAAAAACGCACTTTTTACGATTTTTCGCAAAAAATTCCACCATAATCGAAGAGGTAAGGGCTGGGTGGTTGTCTGCATTATGAACACAAGCAAAATCTATATAATGCACGAAAAAACCGCACGAAAACAGTTAAACTAGGAGAAAAACAAGAGATTTTCGAAAACGAGGTTTTTGCCGGATTTCCCGTTTAAATCAAAAAATGTGGTTTTGAGACGTTGTCAGCGTGAAAATAGAGATCAAGAGCTTCAAAATGATATATAGCTTGCTAAATTTGGGTTCGAAACAGCGAAGAAAACGGCACCAGAGCCAAATGCCCCGCGCCCCGCGTATGGGGTAGCGAGGTAGCGCGCAGCGCGCGGAGACGCAGACGAGCAGCGGAGCCAGACCAGAGCCGACGGGGCATTTGGCTCTGGTCGTAGATCTCTGCGGGGTCTCAACGAAACCCTGCAACATTATACAGTGCTGGCCAAAATTATAGGTCCACTCTAAAAAATGCCATAACTCACTCTGTTGTGAATGAAATTTCCCAAAATTTGGTAGAGACGTGTGTTTACCAGCCTACTATTAGTCTTCGAAACGGTTCTCGTTTTTGTTTAATTATTCAAGAAAAAATTAGAAATTTTGAAAAAAGCAGGCTTGAAGGCTGGCCAAAATTATAGGTCCACCTGGAGTTTTTACTGATTAATGCACTTCTTAGCTCCCGAATTTTTTTAGGTAGGCACATATCCAAAAACGTTAAACAGCTGCATTGGTCAACCTGTGACATACCTCCAAAAAGAGCTGATTGTTTGCTTTTTCGCCTTGAAGACGCACTCACATGTATTTCGCTCCACAAATCTACGTTGAGTAAGAAATTCTGCAGTTTCTCAGCTGGATCGGAAGGGACGAGGTTTCTCTATCTTCTGGATGCTTTTTGACGTGAGCGTTGATTAAAAAATCCGAGTTTTTGCTGCTGAAGCAAATCTGACATTGACAGTACTGCAATCCTGAGCTCAAATTTCTCCCTTCAAACTTCTTTTACAATGTTCTCAGAAGCATTGAGTAAAGTAAAGGCATTGTTTCTATGAAGGGGAGTCCGTATACCATAGTTACAACTTTCTAGAGATCCTAGCATTCGAGTATAATTACTGAAATCACTCTGCAGAAACTGATTACGACAAGCACCAAAACTACTTGTGGCTCCGACCAAAATTTTCAGAAGAATCACGTGCTAACATACACTACAAGCTGTGCCCACTATCCAGTAAATAATTACTGTCAAAAATCTAAGTGAGGTAGCACTTGAAAAGCTATTTTGGATCCCGTAACACCATTATTACATTGCACACACAACTCATGTTTCGAAAAAGAAGCGAGGCAGCTTTGTGGACACTTGCGAGTATGGCGACAGATTTATTCTTGTGTAAAAAATGCTTCTACAATATCTTGAGGTTATAATGACAATGCATAAAGGGTTCTAGGGCAGAAACTGAGGCTTACTCTGCCGATTAAGCCGATGTCAGATTTGCTTCAGCAGCAAAAAGTCGGATTTTTTCCTCAATGCTCACGTCAAAAAACATCCAGAAGGTAGATGAAACTCCGTCCTTTCCGATCCGCTGAGAAACTGCAGAATTTCTTACTCAACGCAGATTTGTGGAGCGAAATACATATGAGTGCATCTTCAATGCAAAAAAGCAGATAATCAGTCCTTTTTGGAGGTATGACACAGCTTGACCAATGCAGCTGTTTAACGTTTTTGGATGTGTGCCTACCTAAAAAAATTCGGGAGCTAAGAAGTGCTTTAATCAGTAAAAACTCCAGGTGGACCTATTATTTTGGCCAGCCTTCAAGCCTGCTTTTTTCAAAATTTTTAATTTTTCTTGAATAATCAAACAAAAACGAGAACCGTTTCGAAGACTAATAGTAGGCTGGTAAACACACGTCTCTATCATATTTTGGAAAAATTTCATGCACAACAGAGTGAGTTATGGCATTTTTTAGTGTGGACCTATAATTTTGGCCAGCACTGTATATCATTCTGATCGTCATGACACGACGAGGAGAACTGACAATGTCCCAAGCTTTGAGAATCACTCATTAACGAGAAAGACCAGCGTTTTCGTGCGCGACTCTTTGCGCAAGATTTAAGCGTAGTTTCTCGTTTTTATTCAACTCCAATAGCTCTCCTAAATTTCTGAAACTCGATTTTGTTTAAATGAGAGGATAACCGAGAAATTTTGTCCTGAACCGGCAAAAATTCCGCAGAAACCTTCTTTTTGAGGTAAAAAAGGCTATGAAAACGCAAATTCTCGGTTTCGCTGAGATAAGCTAAAGATATTATCCCCTATATTTGCCTTATAACATTCGCTCCGATATGGTCAGGATAATAACATCCGGAGCGAAGCCCCAGATGACTTCTGTTTTTTTTTCAGGTGAAGGTTATGTCCCCTCATAGCCCTCAAAGTGAAGGTTACCAGAGTATGGGGCTCTAAGTATCGAGGGTATGGCCGGGTCCCAAGAAAGTCATCTAACCTGCGCTTAAACTGCTTACTGAATTCGAGACATGCACCATTCATGAGGTTTACCAGAGAGCGGAGCAAATTATAATCTGGTAGAGCGAGGTTTGAAGAGTTTTTTGGGTACTGAAGTACCTTCCAGTCAAATTGTGCAGGACAGTTTTGACGACGTTTGCCGTATGAAGACATGTTTCGTCTGCAGAAAAACTCGCTGGATCTGTCTGTTAGGCATTTTTTTGCGGTAGGACCGACCTGGCTTAGACTGTGCAGTTGGGTTGCATAGATATGGTTTACCATCGCCTACGCGTACAGTTTTCAGTTGTTCAGGAACACCCTGCTCAGCCCCTGATTTTTTGTAGCAATCCAATCCTTTTTGTCTCATATTCCATAATCGGCAGAAAGATCTGTGCAAAAGCGCTTCTTCTCATAAGAAAATTGCGCAAATGCCGAAATGCCTCCTTTTTGCTTTTCAAGATTTCCATCTTTGGAAGCTACGACATCCGAGTGAATCAGCTTTCCACCGGAATCAGTAGACGTATTTAAAAGAGCGCAATCAGCCCCTACAAATGATATACGCACCTGGCCGTAAATCAACCGCTCCTCAATATATGAAGACGAAAATGAAAACGCTAACTTATGGAACGACCTAATGAATGCACCTATCCTTTTTTTCATCGGAAGGCGACCGTTCGCGAGAGAGACTCAGGGCTACATGCATTAACATCCCCGCCGGGAAGGGGATCGCAGCTCAAAAGAAAGCTTCATAACTTGGAACTCCAGATATGTGGATTCGCTGTCTATCTATCAGAGTTTCCGTACGATTCGCTACTCACCAGATATGTAGTCTGTACTAGGAAGTCGAAGAGCGAGTTAGTGACAGAGATGCTCACTCAAATGTGTGCTGTCTGACAAGTCAGACCCAATTTCAAAAAATATTTTGATACACAATTGATGGGTGGCCCTCTGCCTACGCAGCAAAGTAGCTGATTGGAAGTTGAAGAGCGTATCACTTGATGGGGCACAATAATGTCGACAAGATGCCGTGAAATATTCGCGCTACGTTTAATGTATTGACATTCACGCAAATTACCAGTTATCTGCCTTCTGAGACTGATTCTTTTCACCATCCAGCAGCATTTTTTCTGACGAAATCACGGGTAGTGCCATCTAAATGCACCTATCCTTTGTTTCATCGGAAGGCGATCGCTCGCGAGAGAGACTCAGGGCCGCATGCATTAACATCTCCGCCGGGGAGGTGATAGCAACTCAAAAGAAAGCTTCATGTCCTGGAGCTCCAGATATGTGAATTCCACGCTCTCTCTATGGAGTTGTCTATCTGTGGATTTCATGCTGTTCATCTATTATCATTCACAATTCATGCATGATTCTGACCTTCAGCACGAAATCTGACCCATGCCACTCTAAGCTTCGTCCTCTCTGCTTTTCCTCGATAAGTCACCACCTCTTCTTTTCGCTGTTTTTGCACCTTCGTCTACGAATCTCCTTGCCTCTTCTTCATTTCTACTCATTCGAAATGTCACCTCGTCCCGTTGCTTTGACAAAAAAGTACGCAGTTAATTTGACATACCTATCCTGAATGATGTCGTGTACGATTTCCCAATCATCTGGGGCTCTAGTTCTCACATGAAAAAAAAACGCTTTTGTAGAAAATAAGCATGAACTGAAAACCTCAGTGTCTGCAAAATTGCGCTTAAGGTAAATACAAGAATCGATGGCAATTTCTCAAAATATATGAAGTCATTAGAGTTTCCATGTATAACCTTCTAAGATCAGCTTGAGAACGGTGTGAGTGTACTGACATAAGGAAAAAGCAAAATCAAACAAGTGTTTTTGAACCGCTTTCAATCGAGTTGCGGTTGAGCACTTGTGACGTTGTGATTTGAAACGCTCCATCAAATCACCCAGCAGCATCGTAAGCAAATTTAAATGGCCATTGAGACACATATGTTAAAAACCATTTTCTTCCAGACTGCCAAACTTGGTATTTTTTTATAATCCGATAGGTAAAATTTTGATCCATTGATCTTAACACGTTTCGGACCGCGAAATCGCGCGCGGCGAAAAAGAGGGTACTTTCAGCCGTTAGCCAACAACGGGACCTTAAATCGTAGATTGTGTGCTATATCTGTAATCAGCATGTCAAATAAGGTCCATACCCAGAGTTATGAGTAAATTCGAAGTGTTTGAATTTTGTCGTCTGAGAAGAACTTCCGTGCCTTCTTGAAAGATAGGAACAAGAACTCAGTTTCTAATTGTATCCAAAAGTATCTATTTTCTACACGATATACATCGATATTGGAACTACGGTTTTTCTCTTGGTATTCGAAGCCAAGAAATGTTGCGACGTCGCACGCGTCGTTCGCGTTGCCGCACTTCGTTGCAACTGATGCTCGATTTGTCCTCATATCTCTTGAACAAATATTGATAGCACAGCTCCACAGGCCCTTTCGGAAAGGAGGAGATTAGGCCTTTGACTTGATAACCTTGGACAAAAAGAAAACCTCCTGTAAACGTTGGAAAGGTTCTTCAAAGCGCGTGCTGCACCATGTGCAGCACCAGTCCGAAACGTGTTAAACCACGCGTAAATTTTTATTCAAACCCGAATTTTTGAATACTGAAGTAATGGTTAAAAGAACTCATCCTCCAAATTTGTACAGGAACAACTCAAGCTTTACTCGTGTAATTGTAGGTATGGCTCCACATTCTGTCCTTGTCACGGGTGCTAACCGAGGATTAGGCCTTGGCTTGGTCAAGCGGCTTTTGGAAAACAAAAAGATCCACTACGTAATTGCTACCGCTCGCGAGCCAGATAAGGCCGAAGTGAGAATATAAGTCTTCAAATTCTAAAAGAAACTCGTGTATAAGCATCAAAACGCAAAGCTTAGATGTGAATAACAGATGTTCTGGCCATTTTTGTGTATTTATTAAGCAATCTGATCTCAAATCTTTTATACGATAATACATCTAGAATCAAGGCATACACTTGCGCTAGCTTAAGACTTTTTCAGGAACTCAATCGGATTCGCGACAAACGGTTAACAGTTTTGAAATTAGATCTGGACGACGATGATTCTATTGAAAATTTGTACGCTCAGGTAGTTCTTAGCCTGCAAGGTCTGCCATAAAAATCTTTGCGAGGGGCGGATCCATCACTGAGAGTGGCTGTAGTAGTGTTCGCTCTCATTCTCAAGAAAAACCGCCTCTTTTCGTAAATATTTTCATGTGTTTGGGTTCTTGACTGCAAGTAGTCATGGGCATTTGCCCGAATGTTTTCCTAGTCGTTGTTATCCTCGGGATAATTCTTCCTGAGTTTGATAACATTGAAGACATTGATTTTACAACGTACAAGCATAATTTGGCTCACCGCAGATAATCCAAAGTTTGCAGAAAATATTAGGTTCATGCAAAAATTCTATCGCATCATTTTTGAGAAACAATAGTTCCTTGCTCTCTTTACGGATTTGAACAAACTTAGTTCTGATACATAGAAGAAACCCTTCTCTTTGTGAGAGCTCCTTTGCTGCTAGCCAATAAGGGGTATATTTTGTGATGGAAGCACGAGAATACAATTCTGCAACTTCGGTCATTTTCAGTTAGGCAGCTAAAACTCTGAAACTTGCGAAAGAATTTCGAGAAAGCAGTATAGTAACTCTTTTAAAGGCAGCGTCCAGGCAAGATCCATCCACCCAGATTAGCACATAGTTGTAAAGAGGGGCCCATGAGTATCCGATCTGTGTTGGTCCAATCCTTTGACGTGCCCTCTAAAAGGAGATACGGGCCTGTGATACGTATCACAAACCACCCCTGAGGACGAGTGCTTACACAGGGTGCGGTTGCATTGCACACTGCAATGCAACTGCACCGTGCAGTTGCAGCTCCTCCCGCTGGCATGACGATGGGACGAGCAATTCGAAACTCGTCCCCCCTTTTGAAGAGAGGGTCCCCAGAACCGGGTTTTTTTGGGAGTTTTGAACAATTTCGACTTTACAGCTGTAATCAGGGCCACGGAAAGGCCCCAGAATGGCAGAAATATGAGAGGCGAAATTTTGCCCGGACGCTGCCTTTAAGCCATAGTTCGCAACATTGCAGAAATTCTGTTAAAAGACCTTATGAAGACTCATAATTTTAGGGTCAGCAATACAAAACAGCAAATTTGATTTTTTGGCACTTTTTTCAGAAAGTCATAAATCTTCAGAGAAATGCTTTTGACGCAAAACTTGAAAATGCGAATTAGAAGACCTTCTATACTGCTTGCTCGGAACCTTATCACAAGTTTCAGATTTTTAGCAGCCTAACTTGAAATGACCGGAGTGTAATTTTATTTCCCTGCTTCCATCTCAGAAAGTAACCCTTACAGAAAGCAGCACAGGCACTATCACAAAGAGAAGGGCTATTTTCTTTCTGGAAATCAAGTTTGTGCAAATCCATTGAGAGAGCAAGAACATATTTTATGATTTTATTATAAACATATTTTATTTTTTATGATTTTTTAAAAATGATGCAACAGAATTTTTCAACCTAATATAAAGGGAAAGACCGATAAATTTACCTGAGGTATTTTCTCAGACTTACGGAACTTCGGGAGCTGAGAAGCAGAAATCGCAAGAGAAAATGGGGCTACAAAATGAGTTGTACGATACCGCTCACATTTTTTGAAAAATAGACGCGAATGTAGGGACATGTACGGACATGTCCATACATGTATGGACATGTAGCGACATGTCCATACATGTCCATACATGTCAATACATGTATGGACATCACCGTCGCGTAGCCATATCTCGCTTCAGAGCGGACGAATTCTGAATCAAAAGCCACCATTCGATTCAGCTCAACGCGGAGAATCTTCTGATATATTAAAGTGGGTCTACGATGTCTTCGATATTCCGGTTTCCAGTTTTTTCAATTTGTTCTGCGGAGGTCCTTTCGCGAATATGTGAAGCAACGCCTACCCAATACAGAAGACTTTACTAGGTACTATTCGATAATACTGTTATTGTAGATTATTGTGTGCTAAAAAATAAGCTCAGACTTCTTCCAAAGGAGATAGAAGCGCTGGTGAGTTTTGGAAAAATCACGCGTTTTTAAATTCTACTCGCCATAACTTCCTTCGGAATAAGTATATTTTGAATCCGAAAACAGCGCCTTGCTCAGCTCATCAGGGCAAATCTTCTCATATACAGCATGTCCTTGATATTTCTATTTCAGTATTCTTGAATATTTCTGAGGACGTCTTTTCGCGAAGGTGTAAAGCAGCGAGCATTGTCCCGAGTACATTTCAGCAAGGATCTTTCGATAGCACTTTTTCTGTAGATTATGATATGCTAAATAGTAGTCACAGGTTTCTTTTCAAAGGAAATAGAAGGGCTGGTGAGTAGTGGAAAAATCTTATCGTCCCAAATTCTACTCGCCATATCGCAGGATACGAAGCTATCTTGCTAAGCAGATGTGAGTTTCGAAATCAGCAGGTCGGATAACCTCTTTGAGCAAGTTTTCGGAGATGTTCGGGTTATTCCATTTCTTTTTGTCTGACGCTCTGAAGCTGGCCGGTGGATTTTGGTCAAAATGCTGATGATCTTCAATTGTAAAGAAACGCTGCTCATAGAGGTTTTTGGACAAGCTCTTTACGAAAATCGCGGTCTTGGATTACAGGGTCTTTTTGGAGAGATACGGTGAGGCGACTGTAACTGCATCACGAAATTGCGTAACTTCGGCCGCACTTCTCGCATATCTGTCAGAAAACTTGCCTGCTTGCTTTTCTCAGTCAAAGTTACTAGGGATTGTGCTATCGAATGGTGCATTACTCAGGCCCCAGTCTGTGAAATTCGCCGAGTTACGAGCCTACAAAAAACGTCCTCATGAATTTTGCCCAAATGTAAAGATCGCATATCTCGTCGAAATTCCTCCGTGAGCGCTTGTACAACGCGCTGATCAAATCCTTCCACATTTTTAATGGATCTTGTTGTGTTAGATTTGGTGCTTTGAGCTCTAGCCACGAAATAACTTTGATATACAATTGAGCAGCTGAAGCAGACGCAAGCACCATATTCAGTACAGTGGGAGTCGTTCGACGAAGAGAACATAATATCTGCAACGAGCGTCATACAAGCGCTCACGGAAGTAATTTTCGACGAGATAAGCGATCTTTACATTTTGGGCAAAATTTATGAGGACGTGTTTTCGTAGGCTCGTAACTCGGCGAATTTTACAGACTGGGACCTGAGTAATGCACCATTCGATAGCACAATTCCTAGTAATTTTGACTGAGAAAAGCAAGCAGGCAAGGTTTCTGACAGATATGCGAGAAGTGCGGCCGAAGTTACGCACTTTCGTGATGCAGTCACAGTCACCTCACCGTATCTCTCCAAAAAGGCCCTGTAATCCTCAAAGACCACGATTTTCGTAAAGAGCGTGTTCGAAAACCTCTATAAGCGAAGTTTCCTTACAATTCAAGAGCATCAACATCTTGACCAAAATCCATCGGCGAGCTTCCGGAGCGTAAAACGAGAAAAAATGGAATAACCCGAACATCTCCGAAAACTTGCTCGTAGAGGTTATGCGACCTGCTGATTTCGAAACTCACATCTGCTTAGCAAGATACTTCGTATCCTGCGGATATGGCGAGTAGAATTTGGGACGACAAGATTTCCACAATTCACCAGCCGTTCTATTTCCTTTGAAAAGAAACCTGCGGCTACTATCACATCATAATCTACAGAGAAAGTGCTATCGAAAAATCTTTGCTGAAATGGGACAATGCTCGCTGCTTTACACCTTCGCGAAAAGACGTCCTCAGAAATATTCAAGAATACTGAAATAGAAATATCAAGGACATGCTGTATATGAGAAGATTTGCCCTGATGAGCTGAGCAAGGCGCTGTTTTCGGTTTCAAAACATAATTATTCCGAAGGAAGTTATGGCGAGTAGAATTTAAAAACGCGTGTTTTTTCCAAAACTTACCAGCGCTTCTATCTCCTTTGGAAAAGTCTGAGCCTATTTTTTAGCCTATGGACATGTATGGACATGTCCTTACATGTCCATACATGTCCATACATTCGCGTCTATTTTTTAAAAAATGTGAGCGGTATTGTAATTTGACCAGGGAAGATAAGCCTGCAGACACTATGTCTTTAAATGAAGAAGCAGTCTCCCAATGCGATCGTCGGATTTTCTGTATTATCAACCAAGCTTTGGCGTCATCGCGAATTAGAGTTACTATACGAGTAGATTCTATTATACGGAATCAGAAACTGGTCGTCAAGTTCAGCGAGCACATGTACAATGGAAGTTTACAATCAAAGTTGTTGAAGGTGTCCGCGACATTTCATGACAACTCAAGAAGACAAAAGTTGGAAGGACGCAATTGAATTAAGCTCAACAAGCAACTTTAGGTGCAAAAGATTGTTGGAAATCACGGTCTTACGGTCCTCATAAACAATGCTGCGATCTATGTAAACTATTGCACGAATCAACAGCCCAATCGCAATGACCTTATCAGAATTTTCAACACTAATGCAGTGGGTGCAACTGTACTCACACAGGTTTGTAATCATTCCAGAATTTTAATGTCTTTGATACTAGAATTCCAGACACTCCTTCCATTGCTACGCAAGGCAGCAAGTCAGGCATTCTCGGAAGAGCTTTCCTTCGATAGAGCTGCTGTGATCAACATCTCGTCCACAGTGGGTTCGCTATCAAAAAATCGTGTGGGTTCAGGACCTAACGATGACCTGCTGGCTTACAGAATGAGTAAGGTAAAAGCAACTTGATGGAGGCATACCTTAAAGAATAAACTGGTATACAACGCCTTTCACGATGTTTCAGTCTGCTTTGAATTCTATTATGAAGACCATGTCTGTTGACCTAGAACCAGATCATATTCTCGTCGTGATGTTCTGCCCTGGTTGGGTACAAACCGGCATGGGTGGGGCCAAAGGAGAGCTAACGGTTAGTAAACGTTTTGCACAGAGTTGCTTGCTATCATGGCTAGATACAAAAATGTGAAAAGGTTTGAGTTGGGTGAGAGGCAGACTGACTCCTGGGACAGTTTGGACTGCCTACACAAGTCGTTTCCTTACCTGGAAACGGGGTCCCAATTAACTCGTGTCAGCTTCACAAAGTCTTTATTGGTGGCACCAATTTTTAACTTTGAATCTTCCAAAGTTGCACTTCTCGACCATAACTATCCATATGAATATAAAGTAACAATATAACGGCAAATAAAGCAACCCAAAGCGTTGCGATTAGTGTACAAGTTGCACTTCGTTCTAAATATTGGCGCGCCAAAGGCCGTAAGGAATCCATCACAGCGCGAACCTTAATCAAGCAGGGGATGGTCAGAAACATTAACTTAGCCATACCAAACATGCTATATATTGGACTCGTCTTAAAACGCTGGTCACAAATTATGTAATTATCTGCCAAGCTACTATCTGGAAGGAATTATGAGCGTTTGAATGTACGATTTTCAAGTCTGTGGCGCATATTCCACGAAATACGTTTCGAAAACACTTAATTAGGTTTTTGATGAATGTTCTTCTTTCCTCTGATCAAATTAACCACCCACTTAAGTCTGCGCCATCAGGCTGCCTTCAAGGAAACTATACTCGTCGAAACTCGAAAGTTTTTCTCACTTTTGAACGCTAGTAACTCTTTACAGATAGTCGCTGCAGATAAAAAACATACAGTTGAAACCAGCATTTTAAGAAGATTCCGATTACATACAGCTTGCTTGGGATGGCTGAATTAGGTTCTGACCATTTCCTCGTAACCATAAGCAATGATGCAGGGAGCGACAGCCTCGCAAGGTACATGCGATGTTCCGGGCCTGCTTCAAGCGAGCAGAAGCCCGCAAACACTTGGAAATAGAATAGAACTTTTTCCGCAAACGTCTTTGATGTACTTGAGATGACATCTTCTCGTACAAAGACTTTAAAAAATTCGGCGAGACGGGAACATTTTCCTTCGTTCTGCACCTGACGCCCCCTTTCAAAAGCGCAGGGAAAGTGATTGGCAATCTGAAAAACCTTCATAACGGCAGCGGATCCATCGTGTCGCGAGTTCTGAGAAAATACAACTGTCACACGTCGAACCTACTCGCCTTGCATGTCGACCGTGCTAGTTGTCCGACGCGACTCATCGCTGAGAGTCTTTTGCTAGGCCATACCTAGCTCAGTGAAGTCGTCGCTTCGCAATTGTCACACAACTCAGCAAATATGCGTCACTTATTTGAAGTAAGCGAAGCGACGGCATTGCTAGGATTGGGATTTCTGCTCAAAGATTTTATGATCGTTCTGCACTTTTAAAGCGTGTTTCTTGTCAGAAGATTGAACTAGATCAGCTTTGTCGAAGTGCATTGGTTTTCTGTAAAATGCTTTTGTACCTAACTGAACTTTGTCCACCTTGTTGTGTTTTTTCGACTACTGATCTAAAGGATCGTTCGTGACGTGATAATTTGATCATCAGATCACCAAAACCGTTGACAATATATTACAACTTCACCCACTACAAAGAAGGTAATTTCAATCGAAATTTGTACTGGCACCAGTTGGAACGCGCATAAGTTCGAACATCATTCACAAAGCAAGTACTGAAGATGATAACTACAAGCTTTATCGTCATAACTCTGTGTCCTTTGCATTGGAGCGCGGAAAAATGATCAACCGATGAGGCTATTTATGACTCTAGAATATGCGCTGAATTGTGAGAATGCACAAATCGCTGCAGCGATATGCCCATCTCCGAACGATTGGCGATCCCGTCGCGCGTTTTCGTCGCTGCTTCCTAGCTGATCGCAACGATTAGAATTCGCTACGATTTCATCGCTTCTTGTTTACCTAATCCTTGAGCGCGCGAAACATGGGCTCCGGGTGAGGAGTCACACCGCGAGCGGTGGTCGTTCGCCGCGCACAAATTTTGTGTCTCACAGTAACTCTCCGGTGCTAAAGTGACACGGCGCCACAGTAGAGGGGTGAGAGGTGGCGGCAATATATGACTCGACCACATCATAAGTAACATTGCGACAGGAGTACTGACGAAAGCTGAGTCTTGTACTGCTCGACGTTGCGTTGCGGCGTCGCTTCGCGAAGAATCGTGGCTCCTGAGTCGTACTTAAAACATGACGACTCGCAGAGACTTGCAGTCTGCTCCAATCCCAATCACGCCAAAAATGGATTGGCGGGAGCCCGCGTCGCTAATGCTTTGCGTCACGCCTACGGCCTGCTCCTGCACTTTCTTCGACCTCTTCGCTCTCCGACAATGCGTATATGCAGCGCAAACCCCTATCGCAAACCCCTAGCGCGCAAATCTGGCAGATTGTTCGGCTTTGATTTTTTAGTTCTAAGCATAGGATTCTTGTAGCTACGATACTCAGTTTTTTCTGTAGCCGTTAGAACAGGTACTTTGCGATAAATGTTCAAATTCACCGCTTATTAGAGTTCTTACAATCATATTCTTACAGAGATTATCAGTTTGCCTCACAACTTTTTTAATCTCCGTCAAAATCGCACTTTTGAAAGAATGTGGAGGACAAGACGTTACTAATAGCTCCACCCCACGTATGCTACCACGAGCTGGGATGGTGAGAAGTGCGCGTTTGTTGCAGATGTTCGCGCGGGACCTCCTCTTTCACGTGTTGTCCGCTGTCCCGATAGAATTCACACCGCGATTATTGCATTACTGTACGCGCTTCTTCTATTAGCTTCGTTGGAAGTGATTGTCGGTCTTTTAACTCAGAATCGAAAAAAAGCAAGCTGCATCGAGTGATTGTACTGTTTGTTGTTTTTCGAAGGAAAAAATGGGTCGTGTAGTATGTAGCTTATTCTAGAGTTCAAGTTTATATTTATCAGGCCTTTCAAAAAAAGAGATGGCAATGCCGAGTTACATGCATCTCAACTAAGGAAATACCAATCAAAAAACGATGTATTAGCTTGTCCCGAAAGTTTTGTCCGTTTTTTCAAGCCACTATAATACCATGCGTAATAAAGACTCGAGTAGTTTCAACATGCATTCGGTGCAACTTTCCATTCTCTTTCTTACGGATACATTTGCGATTCTCAATCTTGTATGCTTTTTTTGATAATTGTCAAAATTTTCCACCCGTCAATCTGCTAGGCCAATTTTTGAAAATTTCATTCCAAAGTTTCGGAAAGTATTGATCAAATAGAGCAATTCTTGGACTACAAGGTGTTTTTAGTTTCTCCTAATCTGCTGTTTTTCGTTTCAAAAGATTATTTCTTCGGAGGTCTCGATTTTTGGTAAAGTCATGAAACACACAACAAACACAGATGCAGATGCAAATACACGAAAACTTCTGAACTTTCTGCAAAGTGAAACCTGATTCTTATTAAACATTATTTATGCAACATAACCAAGTCTGATTTGCTTTGAGAAAGGAGCGTTTTGGAATTTTGGAGTTTGCTCCACATAACAGTCACCAGCGCTCTTTGAAAACGTCAGAATAAAAATTTTCAAAATTCAGGAAATATTGGCGTTACTGCTAGCTTCTCAAAAAGCCATGACGATAACGTTGCAAAGACAAGGTAGATCAGAGAGCAAACATAACTGTAAGAAGGACGATAAAAATCCTAATCAAATGGTACATAAGTTGTCCATGGATTGGAGTTTTGTGAGTTCTAGTGGGCGATGAGAAAAACAGACAAAACTTACAGACAACCAATATATGCCCCTACTCATAGTGACGTGTAGGGCTGCTAATCTCGTATAGGTCATTCATAGCACGCAAATACTGCGGACGTATCGGCATCTCTCTGATCGAGCGCTCTGTCGTCTATCTTACCATCTGCGTCTCTCCCAAACATGAATTATCTTGGCCGGACGCAACGACGCCCAGTCTTTGCGTGTCATGAACCGTGTTGACATAAATGTCAATGCAAATGTCCGTCTGTATAATATTTTCAAATAGAGATTCAAGTTTTGGATTGATCCAGAATGAACTTTGCACATATACATTTCGTGAAGGGGCGAGTGTCATGGGCAGATTTATCAATCGCTCTCAATAAATTGATTGTCAGCAAACTTTCAACTACGAGGCTGGCAGATGGCACAAGGGAGTAGATGAGCATCTTGAATACAGGCGCTATATCCGTTCAACATATGACCATTGCTTTCAATTTTTTGGAATATCATAACTTTGAGCTGGGATGCTGAGGGCTGGCACAGGCGGGTAAGTGAGCATACTGACGAATGAAACATTGGTTCGTGAAAAATCTAATGTACTTTATAAAATCTGAACTTGAGGACTAGGGAGTTGTTACATAAGGAGGAGAGGGGGATGGGGGTTGAGGGTTAGTGGGTTGGGCGTTATGTCAGGAGGCACCCGCGCATGCTGCACTCAAATCTTTTTCCCCGCAAAGACTCCGTTGATAAAATGGTACGTACTCAGAGAATAGAGGTGGGAGAGTTTGAGGCGAGCCAAATACTTGATTTGATGCCATAATTAACATTGCGTCAAGATTCCTGACTCGTGCACAGTTGACGTCGCGATGCGACACCGCTCCGCGAAGTATTCGCTCCGATCGTGCCTCCTGACCATTCCGTGAGTAGTGAAGTGAGGGGCAAGTCAATTGTATTAAGTTGTCCGGAAGATGTTGCATCTTGTTTTATCATGCAGTATTGCAGTAAGTAAGTGTGATATCAACCGATAGATCAGAGCAAGCTCTACAAGCTGGAGCGCGAGCCTTTGCGCCTTTTTGATGTGCGTGAGGTTTGGAGCCAAATTTCATAAGGCGCCGAAGACCTAAAAAATCGAAAAAAAAACTATCTCCGTTCAGAAAAGCCTTGGGAACCCCTAACTTGCTCATGCATGGACTCACTATACGAGACACTCGTATGCACATTTTCGCGGTTTTTCCAAGGCTGAAAATTGAGGAAACGAAATTCGGCTCATTTTTGCCAAAACAATCCTAAGCTTCTCTCACATGGGTGATTCTAGTATGAACCTTTAGGAGTATAACCTTGAATTTTAAGCTTTAGACAAGCGCTAGTTTTTTGAGAAAAATCAAGTTATTTGCAAAAAACCTGGAAAACACGACGACTTCGCACTTTTGACCCATTTTTGTTTGTCGTATTGTAGCCATGGAAAATTACCACAAACTATACAGGTGAATATCTAGTGTGGAGAATACATGTCTGTGCAAATTGGAGATCCCTAAGACATCTATGAACGGAGATGCGATTTTTCGGGTATCCGAAATTTTTTATATTTTAGATTCGAACTTCTGGTGGAGCAAGATTTCCGCAGAGGTTTGTAAACCACCTTATAGAGCCTGCTTTGCTCTATCAAATGATACCCCACTCGCTATTTTTTGAGTCACTCTGCCGCTGTAGGATGCCATGCGACATTATTTTCCAGACAACCTAATAATAAGCACAATGACGAAATTACGTTGAGGTGTGATCGAACCGAGCAAATTCGTTCATTCCATTTACATGAAAACAATAATGTAAAGCAATGAGATAACAAGAAGCAAAGCACAACGAGGTAATGGTCAGACTTCAAAGTGGGCGAAGCAAACAATCAGCTCATCAGTAGATGTAGCATAGAACGCTGACTCTAAATCTTTTTTCTCATCTGCTAATTGCTTCTGTGGATCAAGTTATAACCATTATAGGCCAATATCTTGCTAAGAAATTGTGCGTGCAAAGTACAAATTTTGGTACAGAGCCAAGTACAGCTAAGTTTTGGCTCAGAACGTGTAACTAGATTATCTTAGTGACATTGTGACTCAATAGATACACTGCAAAAGCTAATCGCAGATTGGCCGGCCAGTAGGTATAAATGGATGCTAAAAAAATTGGAGCAAGTCTTTCGAGGAAGGACACGCAATCATAGAACTTTATCACAAAGCATTAAATGATCTAGATCGAAGAACAGGTGGGTAAATCTGAGCCTGCTTTCTGTGAGCACAACCGCTACCGAAGCGCAAGGCTGCGGATAGGAGCTAAAGAACACAAAAGATGGGTACCGGATTTTACTTCACATTAAGATATCATCTGGAATAAACCTCAAGACAGGGGATGTTTTTTGGATAAGTGTAGAGGTGTTACTACTACACTGGTCAATTGCAAAACGCAAAAATATGATTCGTAAGTTGGAGCTATAGTCTGATACCGTGACACCGGCACGAGTCCATTTCTAGGGTTTCTGAAAACGATGTCCCCCCTGACTTTGGAAACTTATCAATTTGGGACAAAATTAAAACGAAAAAGAGTCATTGGTATGATAGGAAAAGCGTGAGATAAAAGTGAAAATCTAAAGTGGAGCTGAATATTACACATAAACAATGAGTTTGGCACTGGAGCGGCATCCAACAAAGCCAAAAGAAAAATGTCTTTATGCTCAGGGATAGAACAGATTCTTGACCGGGGATCCGTCCATGATAGAAAAATACAAAATTTGTGTGATTTCACAAAAATACAGGGTGTCCCAAAAAATGTGAACATTGTTTGATCGTTAATAACTCCGTTGCTTTCATGTCTTTCGCCGAGCTTGAGGCACCTTTTTGTAGAGCGAGTTTCAGCTTAGATTTGCAGTATAAAATGAATCATCGGTCGGTGTTCGTTACTGTAGGATTACGGTATGAACTGCTAGCATGTGGGTCTATTGTGAAATATGCCATTTGACAAAATTTTTTTCAAAAAATCTGAAAAATCATGTACTAGGGTTTTCGCGCACGCTGATTCCACTACACAACTTTTCACGAGTGTTCCTGGCTTTTTTGACAGTGTAATCACCTTTCTGGTAAATGGTGGAAATTGAGTTATTACGATTTACATGGAATAACCTTGGAAAGAAGCATCACAGTAAAGTGGAAATTTCATATCCGAAATCAGCGGCTTCCATTACCATAGGATCAGAGTTTTTGGCTTGTTTGGTTTTGTTCCGAGGAGAATATGGCCTCCAATGGTTTAAAATCCTTGTCGATGTTCTTACCGTAGTCCTACAGTAATGAAGAGCGATCGACGATTCGCTTTATACTGTAGATCTAAGTTGAACCTCGCTCTGTAGAATGGTGCTTCAAGCTCGGCAAAAGACATGAAAGCAAGAGAGTATTAATAGACAATCAAACAGTGTTCACATTTTTTGGGACACCCTGTATATGCTCCCACACAATCTCAGATCGGTATGGTGGCTGTCTCAAAACGGACTATTTGGAAAAGGACTATTACTTCACATAATTCTTCATAACTAACTTTTACATAACTATTCTGTAAATTATTCTATGTTTACAGTCCAAATTTGGAGTCATATGCTTGTCTCTACGCCTTAAACAAGAGATAGGTTAATTTTGTTTCTTGCTTTTGAATCGCGTGCTTTTCGCAAGACACAGTGGAGCAAGTCCGTCGTGTCGTACCTGTCTTCAAGGCTTGTGCCTGGCTTAGTGAATGAGCTGAGCTTTGGGCACTACAGAAAGTGTGTTGAATTGTCTTGCACAACCTAAGCGCATTTTTCCTCCACATACTTCACTAGTAACGCATGTACATGACTACCGCAAAAAACGATATCTTCTTTGTTTTCTGTCACGAAAACGGAGTCCAGCCTGCTTCCATTCAATCTGTGACGGCCCATGCACAAATTACAATGAAGGATGTTTTTGCTTTCACTACAAGGAACAGAAGAAGAAGACTACGAGAGTCTATAGATAGGTTAAAGAGACGTATAATGCACCGCAATATCAATGACACCGCATAGAAGCAAGGTCAAATTACCAAAATGAATGAAGCAAATTTATTGACAAAACCGAAGAAAAATCACTTCTTGGATTGAAAGTTTTGCAGGATACTTGAAGTAACATCCCTGTGCAAGTAGAAACAACAAAAGTAGTGGTTAAAAAAGTGTGGTGCCACTTACTTCGGAGTACAACCTTTGTTTGTATGGGAAACTTTTGAAGAGTTTTCCACCTCTTTTACAGTAAATTAGGCTAAAGTGTAGCAATCGTACTTGCATATGAAATCGGAGGTTATGACTGTTTTCTGCTCTCAAATTCACCTACTACGAAGTAGACTCGTTTTCTCTAAAGCAATACTCTCTCCTAGCACAGATTGCCATCTATTTGAGTTTTTTTATAGGTCGACGAATCGACGAAGGCCCTCAATTCTTCATTTTACAAGCTGACGAAGGAACACAATGGTGGCTTTTATCGGCGAGATCTTGAACCTATCCCGTATTGAAACCTTTCCATTAAGATCGTGAAACTATCATGTTTTTGCATTTCTTTTTTGGTCGTTGTCCATACGTTACATGTATTTATGATTGTCTCAGAGCTTTCACAAGGGGAAAGTAGTCAATAAAGGCGTCAAAACTCTTATACATGTATCATCACTGACTGTAAAAGCGAAGTCATGAAGATGATTGCGAAAAAAGTTTTGAGCGCCTGGGTATTCCGAGTATAACTTTACTCTGAAGGCTTTCCAAAAGATCATGGTATTTTAAGTTTAAACACATAATTTTATGCTATAGACCTATCGCACATGTGGAGTTGAAATGAAGCCAACCGAAAAGGCATATGAATAGCCAAAGTTCTGACGTGTTAGTGGTTATAAAGAACTCAGATAATCGCCGAGAGCAGGCATGCGAATTTTGAGCAAGCGGGCACCGGGAAAATAGTCCGCTGATTTTTTGCGGTCCGTTGCGGAAATGTGGAATAATTTTGGCCAATTTTCAGACAAACGCTCGGAAAACCATCGCGGTCCTTCTTTGATAAGTTGCGAAAATTTTCAAAAATTCAAATTAGTCTTTGTTATATGATACTAGCTGGCTTACCCGGCTCCGCCGTGTTCCGAATAGAAAATTCCATTTTTTAACCGATCCGGACCAAATTTGGCACACATACACTTCCGGCCCCGGCGGGTGTCACCGTCTACTTTTCGTTATCGATCGATTTTATCGATTTTTTGCAAAATTTGAGCTAGGGGGCTGAAATTTGGCAGAGAGGTGTAATCGAGCATGCTGATCACCCCCACGGGGGTGATCAGCATGCTCGATTATCCTCCTGTGCCAACTCCCAGCCACGTAGCTCAAATTTTGCAAAAAATCGATAAAATCGATATCGATCGATGACGAAAAGTAGCCTATGACACCCGCCGGGGCCTGTAGTGTATGTGTGCCAAGTTTGGTCCGGATCGGTTCAGAAATGGAATTTTCTATTCGGAACATACGTACAGACAGACAGACAAACAGACATTCAGCTTTATATATAAGATTATGCCAGTGCCAGGTTTGTACGGTGGAATTCTTTATTGGCCTAAGCCTACAGTGCTGGACATAATTATAAAGCCACTCTAGAAATTGTCGTAATTTTCGTTCTTGTCAATGAATCTGTCTGAAATTTTGCTGTATTGTGCGCATGTCAACCTACCATGACCCCTCAAAACGGCTTCCAGTCTTGTTGAATATGAACGGAGAAAAACGAAAAATTCGAAAAACCCTCTTTGAAAGCTGGACAAAATTATAAAGCCACTTGGTTTTTCTAATCACAATCGCATTCGTTGACTCTCAAATTTTTTTGTACAATTACATCGCAAAGAATGAAACATTTGTAACACCTACGACCTGTCATCCTACTCAAATAGGAGCGATCACTGCATTTTTTGCTTTCAAAAGCACCAAAAGTCAATCTGCTTCAACAAGCAAATGGTTTGAAGAGTTTTCAAGCTCTTGTTCATTTCAAATGATAATCATGGAATCTGCTGACCCTTCTGGATAGATGATGTGAAGAGCGCTTCCGTAAACTCTGCGTAATCGCTGAATTTGACGGACAGACTCCAATTTCACTATGGGGTTGACGCACTTTTGGACCACAAAACTGCATTTTCAAGCGACAGAAAATACTGCAATGTAGCCATTACGACAGCCATACAACAGTGAACTCGTGTGCATAACTGGGAAAAAATTTCGGGTTTGAGCACTGTGGTTCAGCCGCAGTTGACATTCACTGAATGTTGAGTGGAGCACCCTGCAAAATCAAAGCCAACTCAGATCACGAGAAAAACCGGAGAAGCTTGAAACTTCAAAATCTTAGCCAATCTCATTCATAGGGTGAAATATGACCTGACAGAGGGAAATAGGGAGATCTAGGGTTATATCGAATCTTCTGCTCGCAGGGAATTTTCGTGGGAAGTATTTCAGGTTTAAATCGCTACAGCATCATTAGGGAAAATCTGAAAGTTGTTGCGAAAGCTGCATGTAGGCATTGTAATAAATCAAGTTCAGCACTTTGTGGACATTGCAAACTGAGTTTTGTGGTTTAAAAGCATCTCAACCCTATGGTAAAGTTGGTCTGTCCGTCAAAATCAGCGATTACGCAGAGTTTACGAAAGCGCTCTTTACCTCATCTATCCAGAAGGGTCAGTAGATTCCATGGCTATCATTCAAAATGAACAAGAGCTTGAAAACTCTTCAAACCATTTGTTTGTTGAAGCAGATTTACTTTTGGTGCTATTGAAAGCAAAAATTGCAGTGATCGCTTCGATTTGAGTAGGATGACAGGCCGTAGGTGTTGCAAATGTTTCATACTTTGGGATGTAATTGTACAGAAAAATTTGAGAGTCAACGAATGCGACAGTGGTTAGAAAAACCAGGTGGCTTTATAATTTTGTCCAGTTTTCAAAGAGGGCTTTTTCGAATTTTTCGTTTTTCTCCGTTCAAATTCAACAAGACTGGAAGCCGTTTTGAGGGGTCATGTTAGATAGACATGCGCACAATACAGCAAAGTTTTCGACAGATTCATTGACAAGAACGAAAATTACGACGATTTCTAGAGTGGCTTTATAATTATGTCCAGCACTGTATAACTAACTCATTCCCGAATGCCAACGTTTAGAGAAGAAAGAACATGGAACTTCAAATTCTTGTAAAAAAATTTTTCTTCGGTGACGTGGCTGTCGCCACACTCCCTTTTCTTACTTTTGAGAAGCACTCAAAAAAAATTGGAGTGCGTGGCTAACGCTACGCACTTTTGTTAAAAAATTTTCGCCGTCCCTTTCACGGACGGGAATCCTCCGACGCCACTGCGCCAAAGGGAAGTGTCCCGCCAACATTCGCAACAATCACGCACCTCTAACTAAAATGTACAGACTTGTGCGTGATCGTGGACTATCATGAGCGTATTCTCTTCTAATCGCCGGAGGCAGGCGGGCCGCACCCGCGATTTCTTGCAGGCGGTCAGCAGATTTTTGGGGCGTGGCCAAACCTTCAGAATGCTACTTCGTTTTACTGTCGCATGCTCTGCCAGCGAGCAGCATACAGAAGGTTCTGCAAGCGATCGTCAGATTATTTTTTCAGCGAACGCTCTGGCTCCAGTTACGCAGTTTCGGGCTTCGGCGAGCAAAGATAACACTCTATATGGCAGAGGTGTCATCGTTGGGTTTGATTACCCGAGTTTCAGCGAACCTTCAGCGAACGAGTTTGCGGTGCTTCCTCTCAGTGAATGGTATCTATGTGTTGCGCGGTCCTTCACAAAGCACCGCGCCGCCTTCAATAATTTTGCATGTTCTCCCGGAATGTCCACAGAATGCGGCCACTGCGCCGTCACAACCAGTCTATGAAAAAGCCGCAAATGTTCTATATCTGTTCGCCTAAAAGTGACCAACATCCATGCGAATATCTACAGGCGGGCCGCAGGAAGTTATCGAGCCATCTTTCCTGTGCTCGCTTGCTTATGAATTGCAGAGCGCCTACACTCGGCGATTCTCTGAGATTTCGCAAGTTAGCCACCTTTCCGTGCGTGTCGTTACTTCATTCACAGATGACGTTCTCAGCTTCTGTCGCCGATGCAGGAGAGCTCTTTACCACTGACGTCTGTAGCTGCGGAACCCAACCCTCGACATATAGGATGCCATAAGAGAAGAGCCTCTCTTGCCGGAATCCAGTAAAACATTTGTCTTCAGTATGCGAGTGCGATAAAAGCACATCACAAAATGGAAGGTCCGGAAGTGCTGTTTCTTTACAGCTCACACGGAAACAGACAATAAATTTCATATAGAAACATTATCGCTCATCAAGTACTTAGCATACCAGCCAACTTTTTATAAGAGCATCATCTCAACTCTATCACAATGACCATATCTGCAATTGTGAAATTGTGTTCTAGCGCCAAGGGAAGAGTCTAAAAATATTTTCCGGGCTTTTTGCATTCGCTAAACCTTCTTGTCGAGTCTGAGCCGAGCATAACGCATAAGAAAGCCAGAACTGTGCGCATTTGCCCATTCCTGCATCTGCCTGGGTGTGAACCGAAGGAACACACTGCACTATACGCACTTTTTAAAAATTTGCGCTAGCTTCTCTGAAGTGCAATCATTTAAGAGAGAATAGGATGTGGCGCCATATGCTATAAGAGAACATCACGTCAAACGAGAAAAGATATGAATTCACACACACCATAGTATCAACCAACGTTTTTCTACCGGCGCAAGTTCAATAGTTACATCATCTGCAATAAATCGACAACTAGTTCATAGAGTTTTGAGTTTTCTTTCAGTCAATGGTAGGCATACAAGTTAGCTTACACCCGCTTTGTAGCAGTAAAATCATGCTTGCGGCTTTGTAAAAAAAACTCTCAATAGGCTATCTCAACAACGAGTGCTGCGCGGGCTCCTGTCTGCCATGCGTTGTTTTAAAAGATTTATAGTATGGAATGTTAGATGACCTACCTTCTCTCATGCAGAGAGGAAGCGCTTGTATGAGATGGAATAGTCCTAAATGAGATTCGCATTTGCAAAAAAATACAAAACTTCTCACCAAAAAGAAGCAATCCGAGCGATTCGCCCATCGCAGGGCGGAACTAGCGACGGCGACATCGCTGAGTTTCAGCGATGTCGCGACGATTTTCCTGCTGAGGTATGCCCGTCCAAAAATCGCCCGCGATCCGTCGCGGCGTCAATCTAACACACACGCGGCGGGACCACACAGTTGAAGGCGCGTGCGCTGCGGACTCATAACATATGTCCGAGCTGGAATTTGCGACGCGACTGGGATCGCGGGAGGTTGCCTTAGGCCTAAGCGGAAAGTATCTGGGGGCTGCGCGGTCCTCCACAAAGGACCGTGCGACCCTCGAAAATTTTGCATATTCTCGCGGAAAGTGCGCGAGAATGCGGCTACTGCGCCGCAGTAATCTATAAGAAAACCGCGATTGTTCTCCAAGCATTCGTCCAAAATTTCGCTAAAATTCTTCCAAACATCTGCAAGCGGACCGCAGGAAATCAGCGAACTATTTTTCCGGTGCCCGTCCGCCCATAAATCGCATGGCCGCCTGCCCCTGGTGATTATCTGAGCAGACAATCGCCGGGGACAGGCGGTCCGCAAACTCGCGTTTTTCTGCAGGCGCTCAGCAGAATTTTGGGGCGTGGCCAAACCTTCAGCGGGCGGCACTTCCTTTACTGTCTAGTGTTCTGCCAGCGGGCAGCAACACAGAATTTTCTGCGGGCGCTCGTCTCTTTCAGCGAGCGCTGGTCAAATTTTCAGCTGGCGCTCGGACGGTTTTTAAGCAGTTTCGGGTGTACGCCGAGCAAAAGTGAGACTCTACATGGCAGAGGAGTCATCGATGGTTTAATTACTGAAGTTTGAGGTACTTTCTCTCAGCGAAAATTACCTGAGGGCTGCACGGTCCTCCATAAAGGACCGTGCGGCCCCCGAAAATTTTGCATATTTTCGCGGAAAGTCCGCGAGAATGCGGCCACTGCGCCGCAGCTAATCTGCAAGGAAACCGCAATTGTTCTTCAAGCATTCGTCCAAAATTTCGCTAAAATTCTTCCAAACATCTGCAAGCGGACCGCAGGAAATCAGCGAACTATTTTTCCGGTGCCCGTCCGCCCATAAATCGCATGGCCGCCTGCCCCTGGTGATTATCTGAGCAGACAATCGCCGGGGACATGCGGTCCGCAAACTCGCGTTTTTCTGCAGGCGCTCAGCAGAATTTTGGGGCGTGGCCAAACCTTCAGCGGGCGGCACTTCCTTTACTGTCTAGTGTTCTGCCAGCGGGCAGCAACACAGAATTTTCTGCGGGCGCTCGTCTCTTTCAGCGAGCGCTGGTCAAATTTTCAGCTGGCGCTCGGACGGTTTTTAAGCAGTTTCGGGTGTACGCCGAGCAAAAGTGAGACTCTACATGGCAGAGGAGTCATCGATGGTTTAATTACTGAAGTTTGAGGTACTTTCTCTCAGCGAAAATTACCTGAGGGCTGCACGGTCCTCCATAAAGGACCGTGCGGCCCCCGAAAATTTTGCATATTTTCGCGGAAAGTCCGCGAGAATGCGGCCACTGCGCCGCAGCTAATCTGCAAGGAAACCGCAATTGTTCTTCAAGCATTCGTCCAAAATTTCGCTAAAATTCTTCCAAACATCTGCAAGCGAACCGCAAGAAATCAGTGAACTATTTTTCCGGTGCCCGCTTGCCCAAAAATGGCATGGCCCCCTGCCCCCGGCGATTATCTGAGTACATGTACAATTATATTAGGAAGCAAGCACCACACATCGCCATTTTTAACCAACAGCCGTTCAAAGAAAATTTCGGAAGAACTCTGAAAAATCTGTTTCCATGCACGCTGACAACTTTTCTCAAAAGATTTTTAAATGTTGTAGTTATATTTTCAAGCAACAAGAAGACAGAACTTGATAAACAAAGCATGAACGCGTTTCATTGAAGTCTCTGATTCAGCGACTCTAGCTAATCAAAAACAGATTTACTTCTGAGGCAAGATATGATCCCCGCCTTCTCCTAACCCTTTCCAAAGTCATAATCGTAATCCTGTAGTGTCGAAGGGTGATAAGTGATTCTCTTTATAATGCAAAACTAACAAGGGAAGTGTCAGAAGTCGCAGTGGCCTTTTGACATGGGATGCGTACCATCTTAAGCAGCTTGAAATGCTGATTCCAAAACAAACTTTATTAGCTGCAGAACTAATCTGGGTCGCGAGTTATGGGCATTTTAAACATTGAATTTTACAATGTTTGAAGTACTCTGTGATCACGGAAACCTTTCAAATGCTTGTTTAAGCACCAAAGCATGGCTTTGATCAAGGCGTAGAATTACGTTAAGCATTGATGGACTGTTTCATCTATGTTTAAGCCCAAAAAAATGTTCGCTCTAATTTTTGGCTATTCTCAGCGTTGTAAATTTCCCGCAAATTAAATTCAATAACTCTCGTCCTAGATTAGTTCTGCAGCTAAGAAAGGCTGTTTTGGAATCAGCATTTCAAACTGCTTCAGATGATACACATTTCATGTCAAAAGGCCACTGCGAGTTCTGACACTTCCCTTGTAAGTTGAAACAAGTTCCACAGAGCATTGCCTAAAACCTGCGAAAGACTCTGACTAGAGCATTAACAAATATTAAAAGTGTATATTACACTTTAGCGACATCTTGAAATCTTCTGCTCCCCAAAGTCCATCATGCTTTAAGGGCCGCTGCAGAGGACTATAACTACCCAGCAATGGCGGTCCCAGGATTTCCGCCCGTGGGGGGGGGGGGAGGGGGCGCGGCAAAAATTTCTTTTCAGATGAAGATGCGTGGCGTCAGCCACGCACTCCGACCCCCCCCCCCCTTCGGTCCGCCACTGCTACCCAGTAATTAAGATATAGCTCAAAACGTGTCTTGCAAAAACAAGTCATCTACGTTCAGTAACATGAACAGGTACCTAAATCAGTAGGAAAAGGATATTTAGATGAAGTTGTCTTTTGAAATGGGATGCATATCATCGGAGAGCATGAAGCGCTGATTCAAAATCTGCTTTCCTTATTCGCATAGCATTTCGGGCGAGGAGATACGAAGTTCTGTAGTTGCAAAAAAATTATGAGCAATTACGATAAAATTAGTCGTCAAAACTTTTCTAACTCAAATAGCTGCTATGAGTGAGGCTGTACTTAAACTAAAAACATTCATTGCACGGAGGCAATGACAATCATCACTGTCATTTAATTTCCAGAAAGAATATTACGAACAGGATTACCATCTGGCTCTTTTGATTTTTTGCTTTGACAACCGCTCATAAGTCCTCGACCAGATACGCTCCGCAGATAAAGAAGGCAGGTTTACAATCAGCGCTATGCCCTCCAAAGGGTATGTATCTTATCTTGAACAGCCACTTCGTCCAAACATCCTTCCCTTGTAAGCTACAATACTACCGACTATTGAACATGATCACAAAGGGCCAGTAGTATTTCCCCGACCCGGCAACAGATCTCGCAGTCAGCACGCCGTCACCTCGACGTGTGGTTGGTAAAAACTAAGATCTCAACATCTAGGCAGTAACCTTTTTACAAAGAAAAGGTCTGGCCGAGGATGCAGGAGCGATCTTGAAAAAACTTATACATAGCACTTTGCGATTTCAAAAACCCTCCTACAGAAAGGTGGTGAGAAGAGTGGGAGGTGCTACTGGCAACTTCGTGAACTAACCTGCCGACTATCTGCCAGGACCTCGTCGTTCTAGTGGCTGGAGCTGCCGGCAGGTCAGGGAGCACGAGAAACAGTATGCTCGTTCAAGAGAGAAAGGTGCCAGTACCTCGACTGCCTCCTACACGTCGAGATGCTGGCACCTTCCTTGCGGCGTGAATTTGCTTATTGCGGCATTATCATACAACTCACGTCTCGCAATCAACTAATCACCCACTCACAAACTACTTCTCCTATGAAATAATCGAGTTCTTCAGTATTTAGGTCTTTTCCTAGTTTGTTTGCTTTGTACGCAAGGGAAATTTTTTGTAATCGCCTGGTCTCGGTCAGTACCGCCGTAGTTTTTTTCCATATCTTTCGAAATCTTGTCTTTGACCAATTTTAGGTCTTCGCTGTGCATATGTCAACTGTTTTTGCAAAATTCAAAGCTTACCACACACAGCATTGATCATGTATACATGCAGTCGCCACTTTTTCTAGCATTTTTTTTGCAATAGGGCAGCATGTATACGTGTGGTCAAATGGACGCCCGCCCGCGCTCGAGGTCAGCCTCGAGGTTCCGGCATGCGAGTCGCATCACCTCATGCCACTGATCTCTTAACACCCCCTTACTTCAACCTCTGTCATCCCCAGTCTTAGTCAAAACAGATCCGTCCGCAGCTGGCCGCCAAGGTTTAAGGCTACTGTAATCTTTCTCCGCACTTCCATCAGTTCTGTTTATGATCCAGTCAAAAAGGTCGCCTCATGCAACGCATTATTGACGCTTCCACGCATTTCAAAATTTTCAAATACTCAAAAACTCAGTTATAAAACATGTCCATGTCGGGAGCTAGCACGCTAATGCACGATTCAAATTTATAAAAGAAAACCAATAAAAATGAAAGTGAATAGAAGACCAAGTGAAATGCAGCTCCAGATATGGTCATACTGTTGGCTTTGGGAAGAGAGATCAAGAGCGAGTCAACACCACCGGCTACTGTAGACGTCGCCAAATGACTCGATAAGGGCCTCCTTACTTTGAGGAGAGCATGCACCGCTAACTGCGGCACTAGCGTTGAAAGAGAAATCTTTAAGTGGGCAAGACTATCCAGCTACGGATTAAGCCACTCGACTTTCAAACTGTTTTCTCTTTTCCGTTCTTACGTTCCTCTCGTACTTGGATCATAGAGTATCTCAGGAGACTCCCGATTATGTTTCTTTGCCCGTATTTGCCATACAAAAGCACACGGTAGATGTTGTTGTGTAGAATATTTATTTCCAGTTATACATAAGTTCATCTAGTATGATGACTCTGCTTTATAAAAACTGAAAACATTAAGAAAAGTTCTAACTAACTGACAATAAAAGTTTCATTTTATCCATATTGCCAAATTAGAATGACGCATGCTTAGCAGTCCGACCGCGGACTCTAACAGTACAGCCATATGGACCTAATGTCACTCAGCCATCAAACACATCCAGTCCACCCGAAAGTAATCAAATCTCACTACAGTATACTCTATCAATGCTATGCCAGCTGCTTGAATGAAACTGCTTCTGAAGCAGGATGCTCGATGGTGTACTTGACGAGCAAATCTCGCTGTTGTCCCGGAGCCAAGACAAATGTCCACTCCAAGTTGTGATCCTTATTGAGCTTAGCTTCCCCATGTTTGGCGCGAACGTCGGGAGAAACGATGCAGACCTAAATAGTTGTCATGACCTGATACGATTGCCCAGTTTCCTCGCCCACTTTGATTTTTTCGTCGGTAGATTTGGGGATCTGCTCCTTGACAGTAAGCTGCACAGCTTGCGTGGCTTTCGCGTTTCGAAGCGATATCATTTGCTCGTGCGTGATCAGAGTACTCTTTGACATAAATCCAACCTATGAAGTCATAATGCATACAAATCTGAAAACGTATCTGAACGAACAGAACCTGTTCCTGACTTATCGTTGGTGTCTTATAGTCAATTTTTATCGAAGGATCCGTTCCGAGAGAACAGCGGAACTCCTCACCGGGCGGAACAGCACGAAGATGGGTCTAAACATTTTTCTGCCTTGATATATCAACAATGATTTTAGCCACACAAACTTTGGTCACAAAGCCGTTGTTGAGATACACCGCTGCATCACCAGGAGGTAAAGGGAAAGGCGTGGTGTTTGTGATTACAGCTGAGAGAAATGCGGAAGCACAGCGAGGTGGTACGCAGTCGTGAGTGTACGAACAAGCCAGATCTACCTGAAAAGGAGGTTTCAGAATTGACTGCACTAATTCAGTCACCACTCAGTCATGAGATGTGTCACCTTGACACATTGACGAGCATGTGATACACATATACACATATACATTTGATACAGCATTTGAATGGTGAATCAAACAATGACCAGCGCGTAAGACCTTTGACACGCATGGTGTGCCAAGGCCTGGATTTCATTAAATTACGATTAAAAAATAATTTGGGATAAATTAACTCCAAAGGCTTTCCTTTCAATGGATCTGAAAATGATCTCCATCTTTCTTGTCAGCAAAGCTATTGTAGGTATACTTAAAGGCAGCGTCCGGCTGAAAAGTCGCTTATGATTTGTGCTTACCTTACCCGGGCCTATTCGCTATGCTGAATCCGAAAATCTACACCAAGCGAAAACGGCGAAAAAGGGTCTAACATGGGAGGGAAATCAGTGGAGTAAAGTTACCATCCCAGCTTCGAGAACGATCTCTCCAGTCGCGCTCGCGCTTCGTCCGGGGTGATGTCAGGGCGACTAGCGGATTCGAGAAGATCGTTTTGGAAGGTGGGAGCGTAAATGCACAGCGGGGAAGATCCCGTCCCCTTATGGTTTTCTTCCTGTGTTAGAGCCCTTTTCCGCCGTTTTCGCGCTCTCCAATGTGTGTGTGTTTTAGGATTCAGCATAGCTAATATGCCCGGGTAAGCACTCCAAACCGTTTGCTAGCACACTGCCTTTATGATGGCAGTATGCGTGATTATGTCCAAATAATGTTGACTGGTTTGTCAAAGACTTTGCTCCCAGATTGCAGACATCTAAAAATCTGCATGATCCAAATGTGTTAACACGATATTGCATTCTAAGCGACCTGATGATTGACCCCTACGTCCGACAACATTTGCGATGAAAATGGCTATAGAACGGAACTTCGAAGATGTGCGACTCATGGGCGATTCCATAAGCACAAGTACTGTCAACACCCAGAGGCGCCGAACAAACTCACATCTACTAGACTATAGGCCTGATAAGACGAGACAAACATCGAAGTAATGCTCTAAAATAATCTTACAACGTGCGTTCTGCTTCGCTTTGATAGTTGTTTCTGGTTTCAATTGAATTCGCATTTACAACAGAGGAGACGAACGAGGGCTATAATAACGCTGCTGGCGTTCCAACAAAAAAATTGCTTTTTTACAGGACATTTACGCGAGTTCACAAGATGGTCAGTACGCGAATTACCGATGCGTATCTGAAGCAAATGCAAGGTTATCGGTGCTCATTGAGGTTAACGCATGCATTCAAGATATTGCGATGTTTTGGAAATGCAGGCTGTAGGCAATTGTAGGCTCTTCATGGCAAATAAGGTAATAGTGATATACTCACCATCATAATCAGCACTTTGTGTTCGGCTCCATTACTTGGAATATTCACAGCACGCGGAACGGAGAAGCAAGTCGATACGAGATTCTCGACGCTCTAAAAATTGGCGCAAATCAAAACAACATGTTTCCAGGAAGTGACTTCTCACAGGTGTAGAGACACTGTTGTCCTCACTGCTTCTGCTTATTTGAGCTGTTGTGAAGCGATGTAAAGCAGCAGCGTCCGCCATTTCGTTGCAGTCATACGAACCAAAACCCATGTCCTCCTCCGATGCTTCGTACAGAGGTTTTCTTCTTGCTGATGGCTGTCTTTGGCGTTGACTAAATCGATAGCAATTAGATTGGAAAAGATGCATTTGCTAAATCGCAATTCTTAGTTCCTAGAGATGACAGGTTTTTTTTCTCTTAACACGTATCGCACATCGCTCGCTATTGTATAATTTACCAAACTCAGACATTCTATAATATATTTACATGCTTCCGAATTTTACTTCGCTATTTCTCCAGTTTTTCTCCTCCACTTGTTGTAACAAAAGTGGTTTAAAGCATGTAAACAGCTTGATCGTTTTACGTTTTGTACGTTTAGCAGGAGGACCGAGAATGTGAATCTTCGAGGGTCATCCAGTTGAGTTATAAAAGCATTTCACTTCATATTTGTAAATGATTGGAGTAATTTATATAATAGACTTTATGGAAATCAAATCAAACAGGTGATCAAATTTTTGAGGCATGGCTGGTATTTATGAATTCTTTTCGAAAGTCTTGTTTAGTCACCCTCTCCCGATGAATGAAAATTAGTCACTTTTTTTGAAACATAGGCAAATATAATAAATAGGCACAAAGTAAGTCATCTTTTTGATCTTTGCATTGCTCCCTTATACGAGTTCCGTTATTCTCCTTACAATTAGTCTTTTCCATACTTGACGAACTTCGTTGCTCATTTTGAGCACTCTTAAGTCTGCTCCGGACATAACACATCCATCATAGCTTTGGCCTTCCCTCTGGTCTCCTTCCTTTGTTCTAGAGATATTGCCAAACTGGAGGTATGATCTCTATGTTCATCTCTTGCGTCTCCTAAACGATTGAAACAACAATTTTCATAGCGGCTCGTTGGTGTCGTTGGTAGCTTAAGTCTGCCCCGGACGTAATACATCCATCATATCGTAGCTTAGTTCACCATGGTGACGTCGTCTGCCGTCCACTTCTCGGTCGCTGGTCCTTCGCTCCTCGCTTTACGTACACTGCCAACATTCGAGGCATATCAAGGAGTTGGGCAGACCAGTTGGTACAACCGGGATATCAACTTGAGTAACATTCGCTCATCGCACAAAACCTTTGAGATTCTGTGTTCTTAATCGTTTTCCCTTCAAATAGCCCCAGCCGTTTGAACTTCCTGCTTCATGTACTCGACCTTTGCCGTGTTTATCTAGACTGTACAGCTGAAGTTCAGTTAATCCGCACTTCCCCATTTCAGTCCTTTCCTCTTGCCGTCAACATTACGTCATCCGCATATATAAGAGCCCATGGAGTTACCGTATGAGCTTCTGACGATCGTGTCAACGATCATCGGAAGCAACCACTTACAATCTTTCGATCATTTTGTCGGTTAATATCTGCGTCAGGCATTCAGAGGGGTTGATGAGTGGAGATGTCATGATTTCCACGTATTTCTAGTCTTAATGTTTTTTTTTGAATCTGGGACTATTTCAAAAAAAAAAATCATGGAAAGAAAGAGAGAAAAGCACAAATTAGAAGAAGTCTTGTACGATGGAGAACTTGTAAAGCACATACATAAAAGGGAAGCCATCACGGGCAAGTCGCTCATGTTAATTTCTCCAAGATACAACATAGTGTTATCTTTCGCTTTAATAATCTGAACCATGTCTTGTTGATTATGCATTTTGGACAAATAAGATTGTCCGAATTGCACCAGTGAATTAGAACTTCTGAACTTCTTCCCCCAACTTGCCCGAGAAGATCGGCTAACTCTTAGCTCTGACCCACACCATCAATCAAGGATGGGAATAGGAAGACTTTGTGAAAGAAACCGTAGCTGATCCACAAAATCTTTTTTGACGAGAAGTCATAGAGCAGGATTAGGACGACAAGAACGACAAATGCGATGACTGAGAAGAACGATGCCTTTTCTATTAAGGAGAAATACTGAGCCGTAAACGGAACATCGCGATGTGTTTATTGTTCAACGTTGAGGATGAATAGATGTAAATGTAAACTTCGTCTAGGCGAACAACCTTCTTATTTTAATTAGAGCAGAAACCGAGCAAAGGATATTATAGCTTCGACCAAACCCGACTATCCGCTTTCTCGTCGCGTTTGATTATTACGAAAAAGATGATGGATTCGCATTTTGCTTAATCAGAAGAACCTTCTCATCAAAAACGGTGGCCGGGCTTTGCTAAGATATCTCTGCACATTTGCATCGAAAGCCTTTTGCAGCTTTAGAGTTTTTGGAAAACGTCAAAAGTATATATATAAATATCTACTTTCTGACCAACTGTAGCACTGCACCAAAATTGCCGGAACCAAATTTGCAGCACTGACACGAAAAAAACGCTAAGAAATATCAGCTCAAATGTATGTCATAGAATGACCTAATTAGCCTCTACGGGAAACATATTACAAAATTCAAAAAGACCCTTTCTCAAGAATGTGAGAATTATAAGAGTTATACTAGCGTTTTTGGTCTTTTATTTGCTTGCAACTGAATGAACTCAAAGCGTTTCTGAACCACCTGGCTAAGGTTGTACAGAACACTTTGCACTATCACATAATTCTAGTTGCATTTACTAGAATTTGCTCTTCTAGCAAATTCGAATGTATCCGCAAAAATTGCGTAGGAATAACGGTCTTGGTTCAAATCGGTTGTGAAACTCTAGACGTGCAGAACCTTCTAGGCAAAAAAAAACATTTCATCATTTATGAGACATTTAGGAAAGCATCTCTCATGACCGACGAGAATGATTGTGAAGCTGATCCAAAGACGTTTTCTGATTCTTAGGCGCACTCACCAGGCAAAATACCACCGATTTTCGATATGTTGCCTCCAAGCATATTTTCGAAAAACTGAAAACCCATTTTCAAAAAACAAAATTTCCGCACCTAACAGTGTTAGAGGCGAAGGTTTGCTATACTTTGATGCGCATTCCAAAACAAGAAAAAAGGTTTCAAAAAAATTTCGAGTAACCCTTACAAGGGAACGATCCCAACTCAAGGTGCCAAATTGGAATGAAATGCATATCATTAGACGCGTCTTTACGAGCTAATTCCAAATCTAATTCTACCTTCCATATCTGCGATGCCGTTCTCTGGCAAAAGTTATGCGAGGTTAAAAATGTGAAGTCATTGGGGGGTTTCAATGCATAATAGCTTGAGTATATGACTAACAGGATATTGAGTGTACTGATTTGAAGAAATGTTCACATTAAGGAAGCACAACTAGATGTTCTTGAACAAAACAACTGGAATTCTTTGATGAAAGCTATGAGCAATGAAAAGTCCAAATTTGGCAGATATACAGCGCCATACCTCGAAAATTAGTTGATTTGATCAAGAACGTTTCCTTGTGTTTCCGTTAAATGTGAACATTTCTCAAAATCAGTACACTCAATATTGTGCTAGTCATGCATTTTCAAGTTGAACTCTAAAGCACATTATACATTGAAAACCCAATGACTTCACACAACTAACCGCTCATAACTTTTTCCAGAGAACGGAATCGCAGATATAGAAGGTAGATTTTCAATCAGCTCATCAAGGCGCATCTAATGTTATGCAGCTCGTTCAGTTTGCCACCTCAAGTTGGGATCGTTCCCTTGTTAGGGACCCGTCATACTTCGCCGAGAAAAGCCCAAAAAGCCCAAAAAAGCCCAACAAAGCCCAAAAAAGCCGGAAAAGCCGGAACGCAGAAACGAACTTTTGGTAGAATTCTGACATTATTTTCATGTGCAGGCGGCAGAAAATGAAGCAAAAAGATTCAGTTGCGAAATCAACACCAGGGCTCGGCACAGGTGGCTTGCAAAGCAAGCTGGATATCGTTTTTGGGGGAAAAAGCAAAGGGGATATCGTTTTTGCGGAAGAGCATAACGCTGTCTTTCGATCTGCTGCCGGCACGCTGCCAGCATGCCGCCAGCAAATAAACAAAGGGTTTGTTTACAGCGAAGTGAAGATGAAATGGCACCAAAATAGGTAGATAGGCAATGCCGAGTTGGGACTATGTATGAAAAATTATGAAAAAATTATGTGAACTAAGGGCATGGCAAACTTTTTTCGGGGTTAGGTGGCTTTCAAGCCACCTGGATAGCTACCTGAGGTGGCTTAACGCAAACAAAGTCATATAATTCCTACTCTTCACATAATTTTTCAAAATTTTTTTTACATAAAAGTAATCTACATCCAATATTCTACAAAACAGCTCTTGTGCCTCCCCAAACCCTCTCCTCCCCGCTTGGTTATAGCCCTCCAAATTATCTGGATGGCAGTGGCAAAGGTGCTCCAAGCTCGCGGTGATGCGCGGCGGACACAGCATGCCGCCAACCCGGAGAATACAAACAATCACTAGTTTTTATTCCCTATTTATGTCGGTTTTGTATTCTATTTCATTCTCTTTCTTTTCATGTTTACTTTGATCGTTAGCGTGTCGAGGGGGATATCGTACTTTTGTGGCGAAGTCAAGGGGGACTTCGTTTTTTGCATTTTCAACTAGCCACCCCGTGCCGAGCCCTGATCAACACATATGCCTTAGCGTCAGAAGGGAAGGGACGTTTCGGTTCTTCTGGGCTTTTTTGGGCTTTTTTGGGCTTTTTGGGCTTTTTCGGGCTTTTTTCGGCGAAGTATGACGGGTCTCTTAGAGTTGTGCCCGTGTACAGAGCACACTTCGGCTGTCGAAAGGATTTGAAATTTTTCGGAAGATAAATCAGTCAAATTCTGGTTTGACTATGTTACGATGATGATGGTTAGTGAAAACAGATGCATGCTTAGACCGCCATCATGCCCGCCTTGCATCCTTCCGGCACCCAAGGAAACGGCGCCGATTATTTTGACGCACCTTGTAGAGATACACATGTCGTAGCAGGTCATCCTTATGGCTGTTCTCACCATTATTAGTGAGAACAAAATTAGGCTTGAACCGTCATCATGCCCGCCCTACATTCTTATTACACCCAAGGACACATGCACGGATAATTTTGGCGCACCCTGTAGATAGCTTGATCACCATTATTAAATAACGCTGATGGATTTGTTAGAAAAAAACCTAGATTCTGGGCGTATCGAATGCAATGCAAAACAATTATCGTTGCTGTCTCTGATCCCCCCCCCCCTTATTTGTACACTCATTTCGCTTTCTAGGTCATGGCTGAGAAAAACACGGCTATTTGAAATGATTTTAGAGTATTGAACAGGTGATTCCACAAAACCCCAACTTCTATCACAATCAGATCGCATTATGAGAGCGCTCGTACAGAACCTTCAATTTTTGCTGTCTCAAAGACTTTCCTTGAAAAGGAATTTGTGTTCTCGAGACTCACTTCTTGCTGGGACGTTGAATGCTAGCTGAGAGGGTTGCGAGTTGTGGAGCACATCCTCCAACGGATGGACTTGCCGTCGAAAGTACCATATCGGTGTCATTCCAATCATCCCCTGTATTTTGCTCGACGAGACCATAGTAACACAGCTGGAATTATCTGAAGCTTGCTTTGATTTTGAGGATACTTTCAGCGAGGAATTTCAGCTTGAGAGGAACAATCGTGTGAAGGTATGAAGGTGCTGAATCTCAGTCTTCTACAGTTTTCGCTTTCCCATATAAGTTGTACTAGTTACAATAATTGCATTACATATTTTGGCAACACGTTATTGTCGGAGATTCGAACTGAATTGTCATGCTGTGCAATCTAAGCAGTTAAGTACCTTAATAAGCAGGACTCGGCATGAGTTGGCACCAGGGAAATTTCAAAACGAAGTTCCCTTTGATCTTGAAAATTTCGTACGAAGCCCCTTTAACCCTAAGCCTCAAACGGAAAAAACCTCTCAAAAAAACGAAACGTTGCAATTTTTGTGTCTTTTCGGCCACAAAAACGATATCCCCTTTCCTCAGCTTGACCTAGTGCCAATAGTGCCGAGCCGTTATCAATAGGTCTGAAGCGGAAACAGAGAGTTTCTGAGTAGAAGGAGGGATACTCGCTTCAAATGTGCTCGACCAACGGCGAAGGCAGAGTTGCAGTCGCGATGACGACGGACTGCTCAAATAGGGCTCATTTCCAATTTCTGCGTCAGATGCAGCATCAGTGATAGATAATACATATAGCTACTCATTCTTGCTGTTGAGTTTTTAGGCAGCAAGTAGGAGCCTCGGTACTTTTCGCAAATGTTTTTTCGTAAACCACGAAATTGCAGCTTATCTGCGACCTTAAAGGCAGCGTCCAGGTACCTGTCGGTTGCGTACTTAGCGGACGACTTATCTCCACTCGCAAGGTTTTGTGCGGAGAAGCACGTGGGCGTTGGGTCCGCACGCAATGCGTGCGGTTCGGTAGCAGACTCTGGTTGAAGCGGCGTGTAGCCCGACGCAAGTCGTCCACCAAGTACTGTAGCGGGCTTTCTTTGGAAAGCGAGTATCTCAGCCATTAGTGCACCTTCTTCTCTGCTGCTAAGGCATTGGCTTAGTCAGGTCCCGAAAACTGTATACAGGCGCAAACCCTGTGTGTCCAGATTTGCCTGGACGCTGCCTTTAAGCTCAAAACGGCAAAAATGAACACCTGTCTATTATTGAACGTCTGATGCAGAATCTAACGTAATGCAAACTATAAAATCTTCAGCCCTATTTATTCAGTCCATTCACATAACGACTGGTCCTTTTCGATATCGCAGATAGTAGAGCAACTTTGAAGCAGTTGGCAATGCTTCAAACTGCTCGGTAACATCTTTAAGCGAGTCTACCCGCAGATTTCCCAATTTTACACCAGATGAAGTGAGAGAGCGAGGGGGATGTCTACGACTAAGATCATGCGTCAGAATATTGCCGAAACGTAAAGCAGTAGTACTATCAATAATAAACTGAAGGCAGAAGAAGTGTTGAAGTTGTTTACATCACCAAATACCCCGACTGCAAGATGATAATGATAAAGTTTTGAACACACCTTAATCTTGTTTTCCTGCTCGCCTCCTGCGGTGGTCACAGCGCGGATATCATAGGCAGGCTTCCAGCTTGCACAGTATACCTAAGCACATCGTTATTGGATCCAGTACGAGAGGCAAGAAAACGGACTGCAATCCTCTTGTCTCTTTCCTCTAACGGACGCTCATAGTGAAACGCGCGCTAACTTTTTCTTTACAGCGCGGCTACTTTTTGACTGATCTGGTGTGCAAGATCAAGGAGAAAACGGATGCAGATGAAAGTCAAGCGAAAGCGATCAAAAACAGGTACGAACGAGATATCCCCATTGAAAGTGATTAGATGATTGCCACCTAGCCGATTCGCGTCAGGGACGAGATCAGAAAAACCTCAAGCAAGATATTTTGATTTCGGGAGGTGGAAGTTTGCGATAAACCTTGCGCCTTCGATTATTTCCGAACAGACCTAATAAAATCTTCAGTTTTCTTGAATTTTGTAACTGTTGGCGCATTTGACCAACTTTGGCAACGCATAATGCTGAGATGGGCATTTGTTTGTTGTTTGACCCGCCCCTTTTCATTTCAAGTTCAACGAGCTTTACTGGTATTAGATATGGTCATTGCCCACAGTTGCTAACAACAAAAGCGAACGTCCACCAACTGTAGAGCCTCGAATAAAAAACTACTTTCGGCTAGAAGTGACGATTAGGTTTTGAGATTACGGGCGGGTTACGGTAGCCTCAAAGAATATGTTGCTGATTTATGGCTCCCAAGCAGTGATGAGTAAACAGGCAGGCAAGATTATCTCTCAATGCTACGGAGCCGCAGTAGTTTTCAGGTAGCAGTTCCTTTCGTTATCTCTAGTAGTTTTTTTGCATACTCTTTTTGATACATTTCTGAGAGATTGAAGTAGTTGCAAGGAACAGCAACCAAGAAAATATGCAACCCAAACGTTAAATTACCCCTTCTCGAAAGCAGTGCCACTATCTTTTAACCAGCATGTTGCTCTTGCAAAATGTTTTACATCCATTCTCAAAGGTTTCTATTCCATCCTATGCTTGAATGATTTAATTTTCACATCACTTTTCGATAAGTTCTTCTAGCTCAATCTGTGTTCTACTGAAACTCGTAACTTGCTTGGCACACTTCCAATACTGGTACGATTTCTTACTTACAAGATTCTATGAAGTTTGCGTCACACTACTTTCGCGAAAGGAAAAGGGTTTGGGTCAAGAATTCAAGCAAAAACTACGAAGATAACCTACGGATATATTAGGTCGTTCCAAAAGTAATGTCGCTTTTTTCAAACGTACGCCACATCTCTTGGAACAAAGATGTGTAAGAGATTCTGGTAGCACTTGATGTAGCATTTCATTCTCTTTCTAATGGTTATATAACCACTGCACAAAATTCATTAACCTCTCGAAAAATTATAAAAATCTACGACCTTCACAATTTTTCTGAATCTTTATAACAACCCTCGGAAGGAGTCCAAGTAATGGATGGATAGAGCAAACCCTACAGGAAACAGCACAACTTTTTTGTACTTTCCAGAACTTGTCATAATTTCTGTATAGATTTTATGGAACCACCGAATTTCAGCAGACTCGTCTCAGAGACAAATGCATCAGACACCAAAAAAAATCTTCGAATTGAGACCTACAAAGATGGGTTATGATTTGACACTAATTTTACAAACCAAATGAGCATTCACCGCTTCAGATTAGCAACTTTTTAAAAATTCCGGGTACAGCTTGGGGCGCCCTGGAAAACATGAATTATGGTGATTTTATCCCGGAAAACTTGATAAGTCGGAAAGAAAAAACAACTGGTAGAAAGAGGAGAAAAAGCTGCTTCGAATGACACCCGAGTTGCTTGCCGGTTATTGTTCTGTGAGGTCTAAGTTGACAAAATATGGAATTTGATGGCATTAGAAAATTGATTCCAGAAACTCTAAGAAGCAAGCTAAGGACAAGAAAAAAGTTACTCTGCGTCCTATAAGGTTTGGTCTATCTACCTGTCACTTGCACTTCTTCGGGGAATAGGTACAAAAAATTTAGAAAAATAGCCGAACTTGACCAAGGCAAAAAGCATCGGTTGCAGATTTTTGGTAATTTTTCGAGAGCTCGTTGTATATTGTGCAATGAAATTATAACCGTTAGGAAGAGAATGAAATGCTGCATCGAATGCTGCTAAGTTCTCTTGAAAATCTTGATTCTATGAAATGTGGCGTTCATTTGAAAAAAGCGACATTACTTTCGGGACGACCTAATACATTTATGCAATGCCGTGATTTCAACATGGTAAACTTAGAGAAGGATTTCTGTCTACTTAACATTCTATTGACCATTCTGGATTGCACAAGGCCCATTCTTATTCTTGATTTCTGGAGAAATCTGCATTGAAATTCTACCTGGTAAGATACAAACAATTCAACGGCTGCAGGTGCTTCCATTTCCACCACAATCGTGATGTTCCTGAAATGGGCATTATCAATAGGGAGTTTGAAAAACATAGCATGACTCGAATCCGGCACTGCACGTGAAGTGAAATCGAGCGACTTGTGCTGTTATTCTGCAAAATTTTTCGCATTCACGCAATAAAAACGAGGGATGGTTGCAAACCTCTTACGTGATATCATGATCAAAATTACTAAGCCTATTTATAATGAAATTTCGCTCAGCGAAGTTCTCGGCGTGGTTACAGTTACAACGCGGATTGCAATGTTTTTTGCTGGTGTCCTTAGAAAGTTCGCGCGTCTTGGCTATAAAAGACGTCGCTTAAACCGGGAAACGGTTCGCTGTGCTGCTGCTCCACCCAACGTGGGTTTTCAGCTTCTGTCGAATCATGGTCGTGCTGTCAGTCTCGGTATTGTTCTAGAGATGGCCGACCAGTCAAAGTTGATCGAGACAGAGTCGGTGAAGCGATTCGCCTTCGTGGGTGTCACCATCTCGACAGTGGCCACTCTGACAGCCATTATAGCCGTGCCTATGCTTTGCCTCTACATGCAGCACATCCAATCAGGACTACAAGACGAACTCAATTTCTGTCGCTCAAGGGGAGAGAATGTGAAAGCTGAATTCAACAAGGTATGCCGTCAGCCTCTTCCATGATTTGATGTTGATTGTGGTTTCATATAGAGTGATTTCAACTGACAACGAGCACGAAATTAATCATGAAACTAGGCATGACGAGTTTTTGTTGAGTACCGGTTTGACACACTCGATCCTTCCGAGTGGAACATATCGATTTCGCTCAAAAAATCAGAAAAAACAGCTGACCTTGAAGCGTGTCTAGCAAGAAGTTGCCAATCTACTCAAGTATCATTGACTTCCTTACGTATCTTTAATGAGAGTGCATAATTCACTTGACTGGAACCAGGAATAATGAGTTCTTGCAATATTGTGCCACACGCTTTCCACGATTTCAGATTGGAAAAAATGTTTCTTTTTTATCTAGTATTGGAAAAAATGTTTCTTTTTTATCTAGTATCCTAACAGAAAGTTTTGACCGCAAGTCAACCACTAAAGATAGGATGCAAATTCTTATTGATTAACAATCAATCCTTCAGCTTGCTTCGGTTCGGCAAGCCGTCGTAGCGAGTCGCAAAAAACGTGCGACCGGCTGCTGCTCATGCGGTACTGGACCTCCAGGACCTCCAGGACCACCAGGACTCGACGGTCCTCCAGGCAGAGACGGAGTCCCCGGGTCTCCTGGCGCACCGGGAGCAGATGCCCCTCAAGGAGAAATTCATCCCGAACCAGAAGATTTCTGTTTTGAGTGTGAGCCATCTCCACAAGGACCTCCTGGCCCACCTGGCATGAAAGGCCCCGATGGAATGCCTGGTTCACCGGGAGAACAAGGGCCACCAGGAAGGCCAGGATTTCGTGGACCTCCTGGACCGCAAGGACCACCAGGAGATCCCGGACCCGATGGAGAGCCCGGCCCACCAGGACAGCCTGGACAGGTTCGTACGATGCCTTCACCCGCAGGAGAACCAGGCCCACCCGGAGAACCGGGACCACCTGGACCTCCAGGGCCAGATGGCCGTCCTGGTAACCCCGGGCGAGCAGGGGCACCCGGTCCGCCGGGTGAGAATGGACCTGATGGAGAGCCAGGCAAAGACGGGGAAGATGGACCACCGGGAGAACCTGGAAAGGATGGAGCTCATGGATCTTGCGATCACTGTCCGGTCCCTAGAACTGCTCCAGGGTATTAGTCTCTTGATTATTTTCAAAATATCATTTTCAAACAGGATACCTCTGAGGTCGCCGTTCTCATACTAGCCTCATTATTGTATATTAGCAATGCATAAAATAAAGAGTTTTTTCACGCACCGCCTAACTGAATCGTACTCGTAACCGCATCGCAGTTGATCAATTTTTCTCTCAAGAGCTTCAATTTTCTCAGACTGTTGGTCCAAGTCACGCTGTCGGCTCCTCAAGCTCGTTTTCATGTTGGAGACGGTTTCGCCTTAAGCATTTGAGTTTTAAAATCGTGCTTTGGCTTCGAAATTGTACCTGACTTTTTTCTCAGTGACACCAAAAAACAACTCACTATAATAGGACAAGAATTTGGCGAGATTGCTGATTGTTTCTTCGTTGACAAGAAACCCAACAGATGGAGCTGAGTGTGAAAACTGAGATGCCGTTGAACCGATGACAGTGTGTCTTGAATTAATCTCACAGTTAAAATGATTCATACGCGAGTACATACCTCCTGGTAGACAATGGTAGTGGTTCGTTAGGTAAAGAAGACGTTGACGGGGGTCCAGTTGCAATCTGCAGTACAATTTTTATATGTTACAATCACAAAAATCTTTAGAGAACGCAATTTTTTCTTGGTAGCCGCAATTTCCTGCTCAATTACAGTTTGCAGCCAATTAAAGTGATTGAAATTGTTTGCAGACGCTCAGCGATTGAACATGTTTGATTTTGACTTAACTTTTTAATTAATTAATTTTGAATATTTTTCATGCAGCATAAAAAACCCGACTACCTGGCTTGCAACGCCATCAAGCACTTCGATGCGCTTCCGTAGAGAACACATTTCGTCTTCGATAGCAAACCGCTCGTTCTCCATATTCACTTTTTCTCTCTCCAGGGCACGGATCTAGAAGGATGCGAAAGTATTCATGCACAGCTTGGATAGAAGGCTTAGGATTACCTTCTCATTTTCTTGTTCCGTATCTATGGGCATTTCCTGATACTGCACTTCCTGTATGAGCACACCATGTCCATCGACTCTTACTGACTGACGCTCGATTACAGCTGATACATTCTGAAAGGGAAGGTATTGAATCAGAAGTTAGCAATGACCAATATTTCTCAAGGTCTATAAAAGTGGACGTCTGCTTGAAGTTTTCGACGCAGATTATGGAGTTAATCTTGACTCTAGACTTGTGTTTCTCATTCACTCTAAATTCAATATTATAATATTTCTCAGTCCTCTCAACTCAATAGCATAATATAACACAAACTCGACAGAGCTTATTGTAATGCTTTGCCAGCGGATTGGTTATTTGTTTCCACTAGTGCTTCTATAGATTTTCTTTGCGCCTCACCGTGAGAAATTGTGCTCTAGTATGAACGTACTCTTATGAAACTAGCGATTTCCAGAAGATTATACAGTTGACTTTCAACAATTTTTCCCACATCTTCTGGGTTATTAATTTGGCTTTATAACATTCATTTACCACGTCCTAATTTGACGAAAAAGATATATTACAGAGAGAAAGAGAAAGGCGAAAAATAGTCCATAGAGCATTATTTATACGATCAGCAATGCAAAAAAACCTCGTCAATACTATTTATCACATAAAATACATTTTTGTTGATTTAGTCATGCTACTGCGTGTTCATGGGGGTTTTCTGTCATCTATTCAAGCACCTCAGCATTTTGCATGCCCGTCTATTCAAGGACCAAATCAATAATATTAGGTTGAACACTAAGTTTTGCAACTTTTCTCATAACTTCCCTCTCACTCAACATGGTGCACTCAAATTTTGCCACTGTGTTGGTTTTATGTACACTACAGGCGCAGCTGCTGTCCTACCAAATTCTGACGTCGCAGTGAGAGTTACGGTAGGTGTATGGTATGAAGGGGAAAAATTCAAAGTTTGACGGATTTGGCTGAAACTTGGCATAGGGATGTTATCCGACATGCTGATCACGAAAACGATAGTGAAATTGCGTGATAAGGGCTTTTTTGTAGGATTACTGCAGGTGTACGATATGGGGTCTCACCCTAAACAAGGAAAAAGGCGTTGATTCAACAAAGGAATATGATATTCGCATTCGGCAGGTCAAATAACCTTACTATGTGAAGTCTCGGCGGAACTTGAGCTTCGGACTCTTTAGTCATTGACGGTCGTCCCCAGCAGCTCTTGCGTACATCGACTAGTTCGACTTTATGAAGACGCCAAATCTCGACATGCCCATAAATTTTGTTTTTTTCTTGCTAGGCCAAAGGAGTCAACCTCTTGCAATAATTTGTAGACGAATCCGGATCACTGCGCATGGTCTAGGCTGCCAAAGGCTTCATTTTAGCTTGAAACCTCAAAAATTCTCAAATTTTGCTAGTTTTCGAAAAATGCCTGAAACTTTTCTATTTCGTACTCAAAATTCAGACAATTTGTGCTCACTTGTAGCTCACATTGCATTCTACATGATGCCAAATTTGAGTGCGCCATATTGAATGAGAGTGAAGTTATGAAACAAGTTGCAAAACTTAGTGTTCAACCTAATACATGAGCTGAATTATAAATCGGAGCAGCTGTGCATCGTTACGCACAGTAACACTCAAGTACCTCGAAACTTGCAACAAGCAAATGTTTTCAACTTTCAGCAGTGTTCTGCACTTCATATTTCGGGGACTCTGAAGAATCCAGCTTGGTATACATGCGAATTAGACACATAAATCTAGTGTGTCCAAATTTTTGCACTGTCTCTTAAGTAGTGTTCATCCGTTCTACCTCCGCACCTGGTACGATGCCAAAAGTTATAAAGTGTTCTCATTGCTCCTAGTATCGCTGTTCTGCATTGCTTACGAATTGGTAAACAAGTGCAGTAGTGAGGGCTGTACAGTAATAAGTGCATATGTCTCACGTAGATATCAGTTCCTTTGAAATTTAGCAGCTCATAATGTCCGAAAAGCCAAAGAATCTTCGCGTCTTTCGTCGATGGCGCTATGCAAATTGGCTCTTATCAAGCTCAAAGGGAAAATGCAAAGCAAGCAGACCGATATGTTGATAATAAAACCTCTAAATGCCTGCTAAACTTCTTTTGATAGAAGTTGCTAAATAGCGGAAGTAAACTGCCCGATATTGGCTAGAGAACTGAAAATCAGTTTTCACTTACTTTCAAGATAATCTCGCTGGTCCCTTTGCTTAACGAAACCTTTACAACGCGTTTCACTTCGGCTCTGTCCGAGTAAACCACTACGTTTTTGGTAGGGAGATCAGCGGCTTCGAAACAATATGATGCGTGAGCTGTTTCTTCGTGCCAAGACTCAACCATTACCTGTAATAAAAATAATTTTTTTCGTTTATTTAGGAAATAAAACTAAAGTCGACCGTGAAATCAAATATACGTCTTCAAGGAGATGCTTCGAAAGAAGACTTCCTAAAACACTTGCTTTTGCTTCTCTCCACATATCACCACAGGGCTAATGCAGCTCAGAGATTTGAAAGCTGGTTATCTTTTACCTTTTTCTTATTTCGATACTTTCCCAACAGTAGTTGTACTCTTAGTCTGTCAGCTCTTAGTTCTGCTAGTCCTGTCCCAAAATAACGCTCAAAGGATATGGACAGAAAAGTCCCTCTTTTACCGAACCTAACATGGATTAATCAAGCGCTATCCCTACTGCTGCACTTAAAAAGAATTATTTTTGGCGAATCTCAACAGCGTGGATCATATCTCGTGGGAAGGTAGCAAAGAATGCATTAGTTGTAATGCCACATCTAAACAATTTTTTTCTTGGCTAAAACCTACTCATGAGCGAGAAGGTTCGTAATAGTATATAAACTTTATTAAGTCTTTGAAAAAAGTAGAGAATTCTGGTGATCAAAACAGGAGCAGGTGTCAGCTAGCGTGGTATCAGCAGTGAGCTGGGCAAATAGCGGAGGCCGCGACTAATTTAGAGATGCTCTCGTTTCGTTGACATCTCATCGCCTGTTCTTTCCAGCTTCTTCATCTTTTGAGCGGAATTGTACATGGAAGTAACGTGTACTTCTGAAAGTTTTCCACTGCGCATGAAGATGCTAGAAGCAACTGTTGCGGCTTTGCTGGACTCTATCAATCTACATGGCGGCCTATTACGTAGGATAGACATCTAGATACAATATGAGTAGGGAAGGATAGCTGCAGATAAGACCCAGCCAAAAGTTTCTGAGCTCTAGTCGTTGTATCCCCCTATTTGCACCGCTGATTTCGAAGGAAAAAATTGTTTTTCATGGCCAATTTGTATATACATGGTGTCCCAAAAAGATGTGCACACTGTTTGATCGTTAATAACTCTCTTGCTTTGATGTCTTTTGCCGAGCTTGAGGTACTATTCTTTAGAGCGAGGTCTAACTTAGATTTACAGTATGGAGCGAATTATCAATTGCACTTCATTACTGTAGGATTACGGTAGGAACTCCGAAGAGGATTTTAAGCCATTGCAAGAGGTATTTTGCCTCAAAAACAAAGCCAAACAAATCAGAAACACTTGAGGTGAGATAATCATAGTCGTTGATTCTGAATATGAAGTTTGCACTTCAGTGTAGTGCATCTTTCCTGAGTTATTTCAAATTTAGGGTAATAACTATTTTTCCAATGTTTGTCAGAAATGTGATTACGCCATCAAGAAAGCTCGACAAACTTGTGAAAAGTTGTGTAGCGAAATCAGGATGCCTGAAAACCTTGCTACACAAATTTTCAGGTTTTTTAGAAATTATTTCATCAAAAGGCCTATTCCACAGTGACGCTATGTGCTGAAAGTTCATACCGTAATTTAACAGTAATAAAGGGTGCTTGGTGATTCTCTCCATGGCGTAAATCTAAGTTGAACCTCGCTCTACAGAATAATACTTTAAGCTTGGCAAAAGACATGAAAGCAAAAGAGTTATTAACGCACAAACAGTGTGCACATCTTTTTGGGACACTCTGTAGATCTTTCTCATGCAAATCTTTTTCAACGAGTTCCATTCTGTGGCTCCTTACCTTGAAAGACCAGCAAAGCAAATGTGAAAATTGCTTGCTCCATTGCTGTGCAATTTTTACAGCCAAGAAAAAATTTCTTTTGAAAGGTGTGCATTGTTCAATGGGGACTTGTACTGTGAAATGCCTATCGAAACTTCAGGAAAATTTCAAACTGAAAGATCTTGGTTTATATAAGATCGTAGCATCCATGATATGACGTTGTGTCCTTATAAGTCGCTTGAGAATCATAACCGCAAAGCAATTACGTAACTTTGTCCTATATGATGAGATCAGGCTTGGAACGTTTTACTGAGAAAACGTTTTTTTTAACTGACAGCGGGAACAAAATAAACAATTCGAAAATTTGCATTTTGCTATCTCAGGAAGAGCCTCAACATTTTCAAGCAACTTCTGCGAAGTCATGAACTGGTAAAACTTTTCAATAACTCAATCCAATAATTGCAAACAACAGCTCTCATATAGAAAGTACCTAGGAGAAATTCCGTTTTCGTAACCTAGTACATTCCAAACTTTGCTAGGGAGAGGTATTTAACATTTTAAGAAAAGCGTTTCGCAAATAATAGGGAGATTTGTCATCAGAGTTACAGGAGCATCTGCTAGCCATCATCTTATGAACAGGCACTCTTCATACTAAATTCCTTCCTTCTTGGAAATCATATCGTAACACTTTTTATTAAAAAAACCAATGGCAAACTGTTGTTTAGAAAAAAGCACACCCATAAGCTTGTGTGCTGGATCACAGTAAGAATTCTCCTCAGGACAAAGCACCAGTGACTCTTCAAGAAATAAACGGCTAATGGTTACGTAGCAAAGCGATTCGCTTCCTGATGATATAAAATGACCCTCATGTAACTGAACAACTTTCGGGGGGGGGGGGGGAGAGGAAATCCCTCACAATGTGAACAAATAAATCAGACATGACTCGGACTGAGTGTACAAAATTATGCTGCAGAGAAAGCATAATTATGCAAGTGCATAGGAAGGACCGTAGAGGTAAGTGACGGACGCTTAATGGACATGGGCAACAGATTTTCGGTACGCTCTGATAAGAAAATCAGCGAAGGTGGGCGACATTGTTCGCATAAGTGGACGAGATCAAACACACCGTGCCTGAAGAATTTTGAGGAAATGTGAGAAACTCAAAACAGTGCAAGATTTACCCAGAACGTTCACTACAAGAGAAGTTTTCAGATATTGTCTTTACCATGAATATCCACAACTCTCTTTAGAACTTTACTGCATCTCTTTGGTAAAATCGTCATTACTCGCTTCCGTACTAATCGGTCTGAATTATTTTCAAAGGCATAAACGCGCGATGAACTTTTTCAGACCAAGTGATAGCCGCGCCCGTGCGTACCAGTCTCCGAGATAAGATGTAGAGTCATTAAGGCTGAGACTGTCTAGGTAAGCGACAGTAGCCGTGGTCAAAGAAGCGATTGTGTGAGGGTTTAGATCGAAACATATACAGAGATGTAAGATTGTTAGTGACAGACGAATTCCATTTCAGTCATCTTTCTCATTCTAATGTGACATGCATATGCGAATAAACATGCAGCATGTACGCCATTAATTTGACTATGATGGACAATGCAAGTGTTCAAAATGATTCTATCAAGTATATACAATTTGTACAACGATTTTTACATCCTTGTATTAGGGATTAACAATCTGCTTTTTTTATAAGTTCGTCAAAATTTTATTTCGTAGTTAGTAAACACTAAAATTTTGTAAATTTCATGAAGAACTATTTGCTTTGAATGCTAATGAAAACATGAAAAATGATCGTGACAAAGGTTACAAACGGCTAGTCGAGAATAACAAACTTTCGCTAGATCCCACCTTAATTAACTCCCTACCAAGCAATAAGCTAATTATTTGCGCCGACTTTACTTACTAGACAGTCGAACGGATACCTCCGGAGGGCAAATAGAGGGAGTCTGCCACTGCGTGCTCCGAAACCCTCACAAGAAGGCGGATGGGGCCCCTCCCCGGGGCTCGCAAATCTCTGCTCCGGGGTGCGCCAGATTTGGAGGAGCCCCGGAGCACCAAAATGCGTGAAATGGGAAGGCTCCGGAGCACGAGTGGCAAACCCTCGCTGCGCAGAGCCCGGGACCCCCTCATTTCGCTTGGGTATCCCTTCGACTGTCTGAGTGGACCAAGAGCTGCAATGGGAGACGTGACCACGGACTTGGACATTCTTCGCCAGTGGGGCGCAGTTTGCCTTTAAGACATAGGTGCGATAGGTGAAGCTTCTCTGCTCCCTTCACTGTGGGCCGACATTTGGATGACCCCTTCACCTGAGTTTGAGACGAGGGTCAAGGCATAACGGCAGAAACAGAATAGAACATCTATGATATACGGTGCACATTTTGTTTGGGACCGCCAGCTGCTGTTTCTTCTCAGCCAGTGCATGAGACGACTGCATTTTTAAAGCGTTTGATGGGTAACGCAAACTTGAGACTTACTGTCTCACGAGTGCTTTAGCTTTGATAGCGAAATAAGCTTAAAAATTTACTGGATGTCTGATTCTTTGGATAGCAACATTGACTGAATATATGTTGTCGCAGGGAAGAATTTTGCAAGAGTAGGACGTCTGGTTTGCTCAATGATGATGCATGTTCACCAAGAAGAATTCAAACTATATCTCCTTTCACTGAAGAGCATGATAGAAAATAGAAGAGCATTTAGATACATGGCATTTGAGCTGAAGATATGCGTGTTTTTATGAGGAAATTTCTACGCAAAGAATGAATGAAGACGTCTAATTGTCTAATCATGTTCCAGAGCAAGACTTTGCCAGTAAACATAGACCATCTTTTTTTTCTACTTTTCCCTTCCTTTCAGAAATGGAGCACAAAGTAATCGCATAACAGCTCATGCTGCAGCTAGATGAAAAGTTTTATAGAATTCATACAAGAGCTGGAGAGAAAGAGAGGCCATAGAGAGACGTCGATGCTACATGTTCCAAGCTTTCGAATAATATGTCGATTTGTGAGAAGTTAAGTTTTTCTGATCAAAATAGTCTCTGTTCGATGACCTTAAAAGCGAATCATTGAGAAATTCTTCATATATATTATATCAATCATTTCCTCTCTTTGCACACCCGAGTTCCACTTTGCATGTAGGCTCATGTCAGCATTCATTTCAAGGCTCACTTACCCCCTTCACTTTTCTAGGTCGGAAATAGCCGAAACGCCTTCATCTCGGCCGGTAAGTATCAATCTCCCTCTCGGGGAGGGGTTCCCGTCTGGGTCGTTACCCGACCGGCACGGGCGCCCGCATCCGCGATGCATCATTCTGGGATGTTACTCGGGCAAG